AACAAACAAAAAAACCCACCAGAAACCAGCAAAATTTGACTGTGGAACAGCCTGAAGAGCTGTGAAATCTTGGAATTGTTTTATAGTATAGTGTAGGCACTGCAGAAATTCAGCAGTGGGACTCTCCCTGTTACTCTTTACATAGGATTCACACTATGGTGGCTTTTATTTTCTTAAAACTTACTCTGAATTTTAAGTTCTAGAGTTGAAACCAAGGTTTCATGTTTAAAAAACATCCTGTCTCTGCATCTTGCTTATGTTAATATCAGTACCTTTATGACCAAATTAATTTGACATTGAGGAGTAAATATATGAAGATCTGACTTTTCTTCAAGTTTCTAGAAACCTTAATAGTATTTAAATATGAAAGTACTTCAAAGCCTCATTTAGAAAATGAAAGGGGCATTTTTATAAGAATTTCAGTGCTGCACTGCCTGTTTAGTCATGAACAGCTGGATTTTCACTCTAGTCCAGAGCTCTGCAGACTGGGACAAACTCCGTTAAAAAACCCCAAAAGTTAGAGAAGTCTGCTGATCCAGATCGGATTGTCTTTGTAATGAAGAATCTTGTTTACCAAACAGGAGTGATGGTGAAGGTTGTATGTTCTTTAAGGTGGGGGAAATGTCCTGGGATGACTGAGAATGGGATAGATTCGTTTTTTGGGGTTTTTTTAATTGCTTCCTTGTATCTGTAAGAAAAACATATATTCCTGGGCAAAATTACTGAACTCAGCATAGTGTTGGGTGGGTGCTTTACTTGATACCCACACAGACAGTAACTGGGGCAAGTTTAGGGGGTGTAATTCCAAGAGGTAAGTGGTGAAATAGCAAATACAGAGTATGGAGCCTCCTTACCTCTCACTCAGCAAATAATGACTAAAAAAAAAAAAAAATTACAAGTCGTGTTACCATACTCGGGGCTAAGCAAACTGCGGAAATTGTGTTTGAACGTGGCAGGGGTGAGCTCTAAGGAACTCTGCTGTCCTTTCCAGCAGTGTCTCAACATTGACAGGATGTTTATGGGACCCAAGGAGTATCCCATCCATCATGCTAGCCAGCCCTGTGGATTAGTTTAGAATATCACCTCTTTCCCCAAACATTTGTCTCCTTTCTATTAACAGAATCCTTTCCTCCTCCTGTTCAGCCACACCTTGTCCTTCTTTTGGTCAAAGAATGAAAAAACCCAGGATTTATAGTCCACATGCCCCAGATTTAGCTTAGTGCAGCCAAGCTTACAAAAGAAGACTTTTGTGTTAATTAATGCTCTTCTGGATATGGTTAATTTTGTGTCCTCAGTCTTTGAGTACTCCAGGTGAATTTCATGGGATCCAAATCATGCCTTCAGGCATAAATCAGTGTTGGAAGGGAGATACTGCAAGAGGCATTTAACTACTGCACTTCACCTGCCTCTCCCTTGTAGTCATTAATTAAGTCCTGAGGTGTATTTATATGAGTGTTCCTTCAGATTTTGTGAATGGTATGTATTCAGAGGAGTTGTTATACTTTGAGAACTCTTAAGTCAGTAAGAAGATTTGATTTCAGTTTTTAAAGGCAGTATAAAAGTTTTCAAATTAAAATTTTGCTGCCTTTAAATTTAGTTCCTTAACCTTCTATGTCTCCCGGTTGAATCTTCACACATTTCATTTTTATTAAATTTCTCTAAAGAGGGTAATTCTTGATTCTCATCATAGTGAGAATATATGCATGCATATATTTACAATCATATAAATGCTACAATGTCATGTTTGTTTGGGTTTGCTGGTTGGGATTGGTTTTGTTTTTCACTCTCTTCAATCTGCTAAAAATTGATGAAGATTAACGGAAGTCGAAAGAGTGACAGGGGAATATTTTGTATTTTAGTTTGGTGATCTTAAAAGCTAATAGAGCTAAAAAAAAAATAGATTTTTTGAGATGAGTGTAAGAAATGTGAGAGGCTGAAAAGAGCTTTTCTAAAGGCGGAGAGAATTTTCTTCACCTTCTGCACAGCTGCCAAAGCATAAGGCTTAAAAATGTTGTTTGTTACAATTCCTCCAACTCCTCGCTGCATGTACTCAAGCTGTCCTTCCCTCACACTTCATCTGGCTCACTTCATCTGTAAACTGAAATGACCTGCGAGAGCAGAGCTGGAGAAGAGGTTGGTAAGGTGCTAAATAACAACGAGACAGAAGTCGATAGCCTGATGAATGCTGAGCAATCTGGCGTGTTTTCTTGCCGCTAAACGCCACGTTATGCAAATAAGATGAAAGGCTGTAATCCTGGTTCCTGTGACAGGGGTGGTGCTGGGTTACTGTGGCCTGGGCCAGACCCCTGGCTTCAGAAAGGCAGCTGGAAAAGTGGACAGGGCTCAGGCTGACTGCAAGGTTTGAGAAATGCACATTGCAGCACAAACTGAGGAGCTCCCTCTGTTTAATGTCTCAGCGATGAAGTCACAAGTTCATCAGACTGTGTGAGTACCCTGATAAGGAGAAGACCCCAGTGAAGGAGGGATTTACAGAGCTGGGTTTCTGTGACTGGATAACGAGCTCAGCCCAGCTAACCAAGTGCATGTGTGTAGTGTTAAGGTAATGAGTTTTTCTGAGAGTTAAGTGTGTGTTCAAGCACTCTGTGCATCCAGGTTTCAGAGTGCCACATGTTGGAAGGAACATTAGGATGTGCCTTACCTGGGGGTTCAGAGCAGTTGCAGAACTTGTAGGTTTTTAATTTGTGTGGGATTTGGCACCAGCATAAAAGGGTAAAAGCCCTTTGTATAGGCTTGGGACTGTGGAGGAATATTCTTCACAGCTGTAAAAGTGCCACCACATTTCTGATGTTTTAGCACAGAATGTGTCAGCTTTTCCCAGAAGGACGGGAGCATTTATTGCTACATGAACTACCTGTTGTATTTGAAGGAACTTTCCTTCTTGAGACCATTCTGATAATAAAGGACATTTAAATAGATAAGGGAACAGCCACCATGCTATAAAAATAGTGGTTATCACTTCAGGTGTGTATGTTTTTAATTTCCTTTGCCCCATGAACAACCACTAAGTTTCCAATTTGTTTGTGATTATTCTGAGCTACTGTGTGAAGTCCATGAGCTGCATAGAACATGACCCCATCAAGCTACTGCAATGGGGTGGCTGTCCTGTTATCCAGCTTCCTTCATGAAATGAGGGAAAAGCAGCTCCAGGCTGATCTAAACTGGAAAAGACATGAGAATAATATGTATATATATATAAAAAAAAAATTTGGCACATTCCTTGAAAAGATCTCATAATCCTCTTGAATAAGATGATATTCCTTGTTTACATTTGGAAAGGGCCAAATACACAGGACTGGCCAAAAGAAAAGGGGGCTTTTGATAAGATGTTGGATATAGATAGTCTATTTTCTTCAAAACATCTCTTCATTGGGAGAAAAAAGGTACAGACTAGTAGTTTAAATATCATTTAGCCTTTTTTTTTTAAGATTAGAGAATAGAGATCTGTTATTTTGAATTTTCATCCAGTTTTCAATGAAAATGAACACTTAATGGTGACATGTGTATATAACTTTCAAACAAAATTTTCAATTTCTGTATCAATGACCAAAAAAGGGCAGGAGATGGGTTAACATGAAAATGTACTTAGCATGTTTTAAGTAGTAGGGTTATTTTTTCAATAGAAAATTACCGGAATAACTGTTCTTAAAGCCAATGTTGGACAGAGTCTTTTAACAATTCTTTTGTGGTCATTCTTTTTCTTGTTAGAAGATGTTTTATGTGAATGAAAACAAGACAGACATGGGGCATGCTACAAAGTTCTTAAACTCTTTTAAGCATGTGTGTTTATTCTGAGTTTAAAATTCAGTGAAAGAAGACAGCTCTGTCTGCATGGATTGCCCAGGCTGTCGTGCTCTCCCTGCAGTTTTATGTACACTCCTCATTCTTCTCTCTTGAACAAATTTTCCCAGGCTTTGTGGCTGCTCTGCAGCAGATCCAGAGCAGAGCTTGTCACACTTAACTCGTGTGCAGCCTCTGGGGACAGTCAGGAGTGGCAGTGCAGGGCTGGGAGCAGCAGGGCAGGGTGGGGGTCAGTGGTGTGGCTGTGTCCTGCTGTCACCCTCCGTGTCCCATCTCACAGCAGGGTTCCCTGACATCCAGCACTCAGGCTTGTCTGGCCCTGCTGCTGCCAAGGGTGCCCCAGTGTATAAAGGGATAATCAGGATGCTGTGGAGATGCCATTAGGAAGCAGAAGCAACCACTTCAGATTAAATGAACTTCAGTATTTCAGAATATTTAGTTGGGGCATTTTCTGCCCCATTTTCTTCCAGTGTAACCTGGAAGGCATTGGAAAGGTTACTGGATGATTTGCTGTCTTTATTGTAATGTCCATACAATATGACTTCTGAGATTTTTTTTTTAAATTAACAATTTGTTCTCTTGTAGAACTTCACGATACAACTGCCTAGTTTTATTTAATAAAACTGTCTTGAGCTTTACTCTGGCCTATATCTCTAAACAGTATTTTTCCCTATGAATTTCAACATATATATTATTCAAATCTTGAGTTATGGATAAAATACGACTGAAAACAGCCAGGAATTTATTTAACAGAAATGAAATTTGAAACAAAAAATGTATTTTGCCTCTGTGGCATACAGTTTAGGATATTAAGAAAAATACAATCTCTGTAGCATCTGATGTTTTCCAGTAAAAAAAAGAAGCATTTATCTGCATTACAGGTTGTGGTATTCTGTCACCTAGAGCTAAGTTAATCCCAGCCTCATTGTACTCTATAAATTCCAGTGCAAGTGTTTTTCAAATAATTAAGTTCATACACACGTTTTACAAGTATTTTCCATTTTAAAGGTATGAAACAAAAATGCTCCTAGGAGGAAAGCTCCTGATTTGGAAATGCACTGTGACTTTTTAGTACTTCTGTGTGAAAGGAAAAGCTAAAAGTCACTTTTTTTCCTGCTTGGCCTTTGAAATACTCCTTTTGAAGGACAGTAATTGAACTGTGCTTTTCCATTCCATTTCAGGTTTTTCTTCTGTAATCATGGCAAAACCTTATGAATTTAACTGGCAGAAGCCAGTTCCCTCTTTTATGCAAGATGGAGCTGTGTTTGATAGATATGAAGAGGTAAGAGGCCAGTTGCCTTTCATTTGTTATTCTCTTTTAAATATGCAGAAGTTCTAGAATATTTCATGTTTTGCTTTCATTGTACACAAAGAAACTTTAATTTTTTCTGGTAATACCTTCAGAAATGTCTGAGGGGAGACAATACCAACACACTTCATTGCTATGTAGGGTTTTTTTTTTTTTTTTTTGCTTTTAAAAGAAATAGCTCTAATATATATTTAATCCCTCTGATTTGACATAAGCCCTGAGGAAGAGAAAGGGAGAATTGGATCAAAATATCTGTGATGTGTATGAAACTCTTATCTTTGAAGATTTGTAAAGCACATTATTAAGCAAAGTGAATCCTTCAATTTTTTTGTACTATATATCAAATGGAGGGAGGGAGAATATTGGTTTTTTTAATATATATAAATGAGGACCTGCCTATTACAAGGGAAAGTAAGAGAACACAGAACATTCATATTCTAATTCAAATGCATCATTTGAGAACTGGAGTGGTTTTATCTACTTTAGAAAATCAGTCTGCACTCTATCTGAAATATGATTACTATGATCCTGCTCTCAGCTATGCTTTAATCCACATTTATTAAAGGAATGCAAAACAGGGCATTTTACACAGGCAGCTGAAATAAAATGCTGAGAAGTTTGCCTTATACTCAGCATTGGTATGCTGGTAAGAATAATTTTATCAGGGTCTATTTTTAATCTTATTTGAACAGGAAATCTCTATAAGTTGAAGGTAAGTGCCTTCAGGGATATTAGTAATTTCTTATCTTTTGAAATATAAGTAAAAGGTATTTTTTATCACAAGGCCTGCCAAGATAGGGATAGTTGGTTTACCCTCTATTTCCAGATTTGGGGCCAGATAAATGAAATAGATACTGGTGGACATGGAATTCTATCAAAAGACAGCTCAGAAAAGCTTTATTTTCTTTCAGCAAACACCACTCCAGAAAGAGCCTGTGAGGAGCTAAGTGAGGGGGCACAGCCTGTGTTTATTCTGTTGTGATTATTCTTTAACAGAGAATGGGGCACATACAGGAGAGTGTTTAAAGTGCTCAAATTTTGGTGTGAATCACAGGTACCTTGGATTGGATGACAGGGACAACATCAGGCATAATTGTTCTGTTCTCAGCTGGCACCTCTGGGACACTCCACAATTATGGGGTGAGGAGCTGGCACCAAGCTTTTGCTCCTTGCAGCTGAATTTGCTGCCCTCAAAACCCCACAGAAAGGGGGTCCTGCTTCCCCCCGTGGAGCAAAACGTTGTTTGTCCATCCTGTGACCCTCTCGTGCTCCAAGTGATGCTGCCCTTTATTCCAGGTTTGCTGTGGCACAGTTGGGAGCCTGCTTTGTTTCCTCACAGAGGACTCTTCTCACAAATTCTCCTTGCTATTCAATTAAGGAAGTCAGGAAGTTCTGGATGCTCTTTTTCATGAAGAAGTGATTGATTCTGCATTTAAGCTTAATTTCTGATGCTCTAATTGAGGGTGGAGGTGTGTGGAGGAAATTTCTTTTTAAATTCAGCTAATCTGATTTTTTGCCTTGCCTAGTCTCTTTGGAATGCCATTCTTTCCTGGTTTCTTCTACAAATCAATATCCTTCAAGCTCTGCTTGTCAGATACTCTGGCTGCAAAGCACTCACAGCATGTACACTGCCACAGTCCAACAGAAAAGTGTTTCCCAAATTCTGACCGTTAAAATTAAATGTGCCCATTTGATCCTGAAGGTAACATTAGCAAATTATATTTTTTTTACCTGAAAGTGTTGAATTTTCAGTAATTTTTTTGAAGTTCTGTTTCATTCAGATTTTTTATTAGGTAAGAATCACTGCTTCTATTGAATAAAACTTCTTCATTTAGTTGCAATGAGGTAGGAAAATATAAATTATGTGCATTGCAATGTCTCAAGTGTCAACAATAAGACAAGTCATTAAAAGTAATCTCTTTTTTAAAAGCCTGCCTCCCTTGTTTCTGTGTTTTTGGTAACAGCAAATTCTGCAGGAGAGTCTTTGGGAAGAAACAGAGCAATCCTTTATTTTTGAATAATAAATAATTTATATTTGTCACACTGACTAAAATAATGGTCTGTATTTTCTTTTCTATAGGAATCTTTTGTCTTTGAAAGCAACTGTCTCTTCCAAGTGGATGAATTTGGATTTTTTCTGAGCTGGAAAAGTGAAGGAAAGGTATATTACAATTATGTCAGGAATGTATGTTGTATTTTATTGCTGTTGATTTATGTTCTGGTTTTGAAAAATCTAAAACAGTGTTAGTTTAGTTACAAAACTAGTCTTCATCCTGTTCTTTTAGAATTGACAAGAATGAAGCATTTAAGAGGGAATTAAGTGATATTAAAGGGAAATACACTGCTTAGTCTTCATTAACAGCATTTGCCAATAAAATTCCCTGTTTATTTTTGCTGACATTCCCAATGGAACCATGTCTCAACGGATTTTTGAACTTGTACCCTTTTTGTCATTTCAGGAGGGACAGGTATTAGAATGCTCCCTGATCAACAGTGTTCGTTTTGGAGCTGTACCAAAGGTACTCTATAGTTACTTTATACTCTTCACTTAAAGATATTAATTAATATTAATATTTAAACTGAAGGTGAAATGCAGAATGGCATTCATTTCTTTAAGTAATACCAGTAACACAGCTTTTATTTTGCAATCATAGCCTAAAATGTGAAGTTTTGAAGTGATTTGTTCTGATTGCAGTGGGAAGGTTCAGTCTTCTGGTCTTTCTGATGTATTACAGTATTCAGGGTGCACTGAAAGCTGAACAGACATTAAGAGCACATATCAGGACTTTTAAAATTATCTTGTAACAGTTTATTGTGATATTTGTTTTAGGGATCAGGAAAAAATGTTTCATTTTCCATATTCTGTTTGAATTTATTTTCTCTTCTTACTCTATTGGCATAAAAAGTATAAATATTTGTTTGCATCCCTCTTTCTGCATTTAGGTGGTCAGAGAGGGCAGCTGGTCACAGTGTGCCTTTTTAAAGAGTTATCAGCAGAAGTACTAGCTAGGAGTTCTGGAGAGCCCCAAAACTTTGGAAATATGCTCAGTGGTATTCAGAAGGAACATGCAGGATTTTCTGCACTGAACTGTGGCTCTCCTTCCACCAGGCCTTCAGTTTAAAAGATTTGTAGTGAACCCTGCGTTTCCACTTTTGCATATTAAGTGGCTTTGTGATGACTGTAGGTACTTATCTCTTAGAAATTCACTTGGGAATCCTTAGACTGAGAGTTCTGCCCCACAGAGAAGAGTCCTGAGATGTGGTGATGCAGACAACCCCATGCTCCATGGGCTGACAGCCACACCAATGTGCTTCAGACTTCAGCTCTGTCTTTAAAAAATTACTCCCATTAAACCTCCAGTAGCAGAGACAGCAGCTTGTGTGACACATCACTAAGAGACAGCCAAGAAGTCACAGAGATCATGACTCTCAGGAACTATGGATTTAACTAGATTGGAATAATTAACTTAGAGATTAGGACTGTTCCTCTGTTGCCAGTCCTTGGAGTGATTAATTTTTATTTTTCGTGATGAAAATATGAGTTTCTCACAATCATGTTAGAATACATTATTTTTTCAGGTTTGCACACAGTGTTTCTAAGTGAAAGCACTCATTTAAGATGTCTGGCAAAGGTCTAAAGGTGTAAATGCAAAAGGAGGTGAAAATGCATTTTTCCCACAGTGCCTTGCTAACAGAAGTGTTGCAAATGTAACAAGTTATTTATTCTGTTTCACAGGATCCCAAAATACTAACTGCACTGGAGGCTGTTGGAAAATCAGAAAATGAGTTGGAAGGACGGATAGTGTGTGTTTGCAGTGGCACAGATCTGGTGAACATCAGCTTCACTTTCATGGTAGCAGAAAACACAGAAATAGCCAAGGTATTTCACAATTAAACAGTGTGTGGAAGTTAAAAGAAGAGCACATCAACAGTGCTCAATTGTTTTTCCTAAGTTTGCCTCTGTGGCTGACTAAAATACCTGGTTTAGTGTCTGCTGCCTCACTCTTCCAAAGGACAAACATCCATGTGGAGTATTCTGTAAGGTCTGTGTGCCATGGTGGGAGGAAATAGTGATTTTATCAGCCCGTGCAGGCACAGTGATTTATCAAAGTTAGACACTGAGACCATTATATATAGGACAGAGCATTCCCTGAGCTGTGCAGTGTCTCTGGTTCAGCAGATGAGGTGATGATGGTGTGGTGGGTCTGTGACAGGGATGCTGAAGGGAAGTGCAATTACTGCCATTTTCCTGGTGGGTGGAGTTCAGCCCTTCACAATTCTGTTCTGATAACCTAATTGTATCATGTGGTTCATATTACTTGAAAAGACAAAAGCAGGAAAGAAAATTCTCTTTAGTTATGGGGATCCCAGTGTACCCAGGTTCTTTTCTGTTTCCCGTTGACATGGAACAGTCTTAAGGAAACAATGGTGCTTTTTTACACGTCATCTTTCCTGAGAGCTTGAGATTGCAGTTCACATGCAAGTCCTGGGCTCCACCTGCCCTGCTACTCAGCTGTAAACTGCTCTGAGAAACCTGATCAGAGTGCTGATAGTTCACTGCTAGCTGAGATCCAGACATGCATGGGGTTTTAAAATACACACTCTTTGCTTTTCTTTTCTGTCTCTATGTATTTAGGGTATTTTGGATTTTAATCTGTTCTGCTTGTGAGATAAATATTAAATAGTGATCAGTATCACACACTTGGTAAATCCCCTCCTTTAAAACTGTTTGCTGAATGCAACATCACTTAATCCCTTGCCAGACCTGGTTTATTTTTCATTGCTTTGGATCCATACCTTTGGAAACACTGGCAATGCTGAGTAAACTCCTTTATAGGAGAAATACTTGTATAACTTACATGGGCACACTAAATTGATTTTACTGTGTGTATTTTCAGCAGACATTAAGGGAAATAACATGTCAGAGTTATGTTTTGAAAGCATTTGAAAAAAGAAGCAAAGCAAGGGAGATGTTGGCAGCATTCACTTTCATACTTAACCCTGTCTCTGATTTATTCTGAAAACAGCTGCAGTTAAGTTTCTCAGCCACCTTAGATCTCAATAACCTGTATTAGACTAATTGGTTTGTGAGAATGTTGGTCCATTACAGGGACTGTCACAAGAGATGAGCTAATTATGCTGTTGAAAAGATGTAGTGCTCATTAACAGCCAAGCCTTACAGAAATGGTGTGTCATGCTGCAGTGGGCAGGCTTTGAGAGCCCCATGGAAGTCAGAGTTCTGCATTTGGGAGCCTTTTCACCAGAACTGTCAGCAGTGATGATCCACCTCATCTGATATGACATGTTTGAGGCACAAGGGAGAGCATAAAGCAGATCAGGCAAAAAAAAATCAATGTAGGGCTTTCTAAGTTGCCTTTGCTGGGAAATTTGGCCTGTACTGTGTTGACCTTTGGTATATGGTAAATACATCAACTTCTGTGCTAAAATAGAATTTTCTAGGAGTTATCTGCACATAGAAGTGCTCCTGCTTAATTCTTCCTGTTTTGTTCAGGAGAAAACATCTTTCTTGTGGGACACAGTAAATCCCCTCTAGAATAAATAAGCATTTGCATGGCATTAAGTAGCTGTGCAGCTGCTAACTGCAGTTTAAAATAGGCCTCAAATTAATCCATGTTCAAATATAAACCCCTCCTTTGAAATGACAGAGGCAAGAGTTTGGAGGAGAAGGGGCAATGACTGAAGCTTAAGCTGCCCAAATATGTGTGAGGGTTCTAAAATAGGTGTAAGAAACCTGTGGTTTCTGCTGTGGCCCCTGTTGGTGTGAGGAACAGAGCATTGGTCTGTACCTGATTGAGAGACTTTAAAATGAGGGAATTGACTGGCAGATTGAAGCACAGAAAGCTCAGAACCTTTCTGCCCAGAAAGGCTTCTGTAGGTGGCAATTTACAATTGGAAAAGAAGCAATTGTAACTCAAGGCTGGGTTAAAATGAGACTAATCGTGACAAAATTGGTGAAAATTCCTGGCTTCTTCAGCCTATCCATGCAAAGAATGGTACCACTGGGAAGCAGGTTCTGCCAGGTCCCTGGCACAGGGTGGCAGATTGGGACAGTCCCCATCTGTGGCAGGTGAGCTGGTACCTGCTGTGGGCAGTGCTGGACCCTCCTCTCCGGGGCCATCCCAGGCTGGCTGTTGTCATTTGTCATCACCTGTGCCCCAGGGCAGCCCCTGTGTGCCCCTGGTGCTCAGCAGGGCTGGCCCAGGCATTGCTGAGCTCCAAGTATAGCTACTCCAACAACAAGAGTGTGTTTATTATCCTTCCACTTGTCTCCAAGCTCCAACTCTGGTATTTACATTCTATCTACTTAAATTTTATTGGTGTTTTCAGCTGAGAAATTGGTTTTCATTTCCACTCTTAAAACAGCCACAAAATAGGGTGTACTCTGTCTCTGATTGCAAGCAGCTGTCGTGGTCCACTCCTAAAGCAGCTCCTCTGTGGTAGTAGAGAGTGACTGTAAAAGGTGGAATTTAAAACCTGATGTTTGGAATCCTGATTAAATCAGGTTATATAAATTATCCTGAGCTAAAATTAACAGGCACATACACACATGCACATATATTAGAGATGAGAGCATATGTGTGTATTTTTCTTTTTTACTTCCCAGATGGACTTTCTGTGCCCTAGTAACTGGATAATCTGTTTTCCTCAGTCTGGGACAGTTGAAAAGGCCAGTGAGGATTTGGGCGTGAATTTCCTTGGGGCAGAAGTGATGCAGTGCTGATAGGAGGCCTCAGCCCTTGGCATTTGGGCTGCCTATCCCACACTGGCATTAGTCCAGTGAAGCTCTTGTACTTCAGGAGCCCAAAATCTGGACTTGTCTTCTTTTTGCTCATCCACTCTGGCAATGCATTAAGGAGTTTAGCTTAAAACATTACCCTAAGTCAGCTCCTTTAACATTACTTAATATTAGTGCATATCAAGGGTGAATTTACCCTGGTGGTTGTCCTTTCCCAGCTCCAGCCATTTTCTTGGAAAGGACCATCTCTCCACCTCAGAGATGTTGCCATTCTGTTTGAAAGTACTGTTCCCCATGCCCTGCTGGCAGAGGAGTTCAGTGAACACTCCTAATTCAATTCAAGGAAGATCCTTAATGTTGAAATCATGTTTAGAGGCAAAGCTCCCACCAAAGCTCAGTGTTTAAGATAATCTGGCTTTGGGAAGTGCTGATGCATCCAGGATGGGAACAGCCATGGGGGAGACAGGGTGGGAAGGAGAGTGAAGCAACCTTTTACACTGGTTTTACACCTTTAGTTGGATTTGATAGAAAATAGGTGTATTCTACCTTGTGTGTTACTGAGACAGTGATTCACACTTGGATGGTTTAACCTGTGAGGCACCACGATGAACAGAATGTGCTAAAATGCTTTATCACTCACACACTGACAAACAACATAAAGGTAAATACAGGCTTCATCACACAGCTAAAAATATTCATGGCATGGAAGTCAACTGCAGTTGAAAACATTTCATTTTGACATTTTTAAACTTCTCACCTTCTCAGTTGGAATGAGAAATTTACATTTTTTTCCAGTTTAAAATGGTTCTGGTAAGACGAAGCACTTCAGGTTTATTGTTTATGTTGGTGTTTCTGCTAATCAAACTCTTGGATTTACAAAAAGAAATCTGTTTCATAGAATCATAGAACAGTTTGGGTTGGAAGGGACCTTAAAGACCATCCAATTCCAACTCCCCTGCCATGGGCAGGGACACCTTCCACTAGACCAGATTGCCCATCCAGCCCAGCCTGATTGACCCTGATTTTTTTTTCTTCTGATTTATTTTGATGTTTCAAGGCAAAACTTTTCAAGGAACCTGCGAAACTCTCTTGAACAGATCTCTAGAAGCCTCCTGCTGTTCTCTGTGTCCCTCTGTGGAAGTATGTGGCTTATGTCTCATAGCCCATGTAATAAACATTTCTGTATCATCACTGCCTTAAATATATGACCACACCTTTCCTGTGCCTAGTGTGTTTTTCCATGTTCTCTAGAGAAATCTTCATATCCCAGCCTGCAATTAATTATTGGTGCTTTGCATGTGTTTTGCTTTTCTGCCTTTTCATGTACATTCTTGGCTGTGCCACTGTGGAATTATCAGTAAATTGACAACTTTCAGCCTTGGCTCTCCATAGCCAGGAGGTTGATTTCACTGTGAAAGCTCCACTGTGTTTCTCTCAGTTTGCATACAAGAGCAGCCAAAGTGATTCTTCCAGCTCCTTTCAGAGGAAGCCCCTCCAATGCTGGAAAAGCCACTCCAGGGTAGGAAGCTTTGTTGAATTATGGTAGCAGTTTGGACACACTGGGCAGCTCCCATTACAGAGCTGTGTGAACCTCAGCTTTCCTGATGGAATACTTGAAAGTCAGAAGGATCCCTTTTATCTCTGTGAAAATACTGCAGGTATTTTCACAGCAATATCCTGCAAAATTTAGTGCTGCATTTGGTATGGATAGGGGAGAGGTTTGGCACTGTCACTCCTCAGGTCTGTGGCTGCCTGGAGTGAGAGGAAGGGTGGTTTTCTTGGAGCAGAGAGGAATTTTGAGATGTTTGCATTGAGAGAATGGGGACATCTGCTGGCTGAGGGCAAGTGCCAGAGATTCCTGCCAGCCCATATCTGTCTTGGGGAAAGGTGGGAAACAATTCTTGGTGGGTTTCCTGAGCCTTCATTCAAGCTATGGAGCCCTTGGCAGTCAGACACTGAACACCAAAAGCAGAGGGCAATGCCTCCTTGCCTCCCTGGCTTTCCTGATGTCTGGAATAAGTGGAGTGCAACTCTGGAGAGACTGCACTGGAAAAAGGAAGGTAAAATCTCAAGAGGTCTGGGTGATACTGACCCCAACGGTCAATAAGCCATGCATGGCCTTGTCTGGAATTTCATGAGCTGTAGGCTATGGTGATTTTTAACCTTTCATAATTCTTGTCCTTTTTAACTCTCCCTAAATGAAAGGTTGATGGCTAAAATAGAGCTGAAAGGCCAAACTTATTTGTGCACCCTGCAGTTCTGCCCATGTTTCATCCATGAACCTCAGCTAACACAGGGTCACTAAGTGCCTCAGAAGCATTTCAGTCCAACAGCAAAAGCTAAGAGAGTGCTTCTTTGATTGATTTTTCTTGCCCCTTCTCCTTCTGAAGATGTTTGACAGTGTTTGATCTTGTCAGAGAAAAACAACACAGTGCTTGTTCCAGCCTGCAGTGTAGATTTTGGCTTCTTGTGTCAGCCTAAGGGGTCTGAGCTTAAGGTGCACTGATGCTTAATTTGGTTTCTTTTCATGACTGTTGATTTTCTAGGATTAGATATCAGGGTCCAGATCCCTTTATGAATCTGGAATATTACTTGTATATAGGGAGCCATTCAGGAGTTACCTCAGCAGATTAAAGGTACTGAACCATATTTTGAAAATTGGAAAATATTCAGCACTAGCACCAGTAAGAATCCAATGTACCCTGATTTCTATCAAAAACCATTTTTTTTCTAAGACCGAAGTGTTTCCTATAGACCTCATTTCAGAATTCCACTTGTTATAGGAATTTCTTCCTTTGCACAGATATTATTTTGAAAGTGCTGAGCATGAAAGAACTGAGGATGTTTATCCCTGTTACTTACATAGGTATACAGGTCTTAACTTCATCTGTAAAATAAGGAGTGCTGTCACAGAATACAAGCAAGGCTGCTGCTGTATCTGTCTGTGTGATAGCTCAGAAAAGCCTGAGCCCTTCTTTCATCCCTCCTGCAAGGTCATCAGACAAGTGTACATTAAATCTGGGAATGGTTTGTTGTCAGGAGAGCAATATATTGCCAGCTTGTCACTGAATTTTGAGAGTATCTGTGCCCTGGATCATAGCACCTTAAAAGCAAGTATGAAGACATTATTAGTTGGAGACTATTCTGGCTCAGAGGGACAAAAAGTCTGACTGTGTTGAATGCGTTGTCGAATTTGGTTTTTTTGTTGTATTTCTGGTTAATGTGAGGCCAGCTGATAACCGTGGGCAGCATCTGGTGAAACTCTGCAGAACCTGCTCTAGCCCCAAAGCAAAGGGCAGGCAGCCAGCTGCTGTGCTGTGGCATGGAACAGATGGGCAGACATGGCTCTGGCACTGCCACATCCTGCCCAGGGCACATCATGCCAATGTAAAGATGATTTGGAGCTGGACAGAGGCTCTTGGGTCCCTCCTTTGCTTGCTGCCAGCAGAAATGTGATGCTTTTGTGCCTCATCAGTGTTTGGTTGTAGGTTTGTGCTCTTTTACTCCAAGGCAGTGTAATGCCTGATTTGGCATCTCTGTCAGGGAAAGGCATTAACACTGAAAAAAGGTTAGGGAGACCTCTGAAGTGGGAACCATCAAGACAACTCCTGCAAAAAAATTACTTGGAAAGTGCTTAGTGTATTGATTTCTCCCTTCACTTGTGTGTTTTTCTAGCAGTGTTCCTTTCTGGCAGCTCTTCTAGATGAGCAGAAGTAACTCCAGAGCTGAGTGCTGGCCAGCCTTACTTTTAAATGTTGGTTTTTGTTATATCTGGTATAGTCATAATCCACTGCCTTCAAATCAGAATGGATCTACATGTAGGTGTTTATTTCCAAATGAAATGCTGGTATTGTCAGTACTGCACCAGTGGTGGTTTATTGCCAGAAAAAAATTGGAGAAAGCCTGCAGCTTTTTCACAACATGCATTTGGTGTAATTTAATTTTTGCAAGGGATTTTTGTTTGCAGTGAATATGCAAACAAAGTGGTTGGGTCAATGTTGGAATGCTGAGGGATTTTGAAGGGGTGCAGACCAATGCAGATCATATGAGGACAAATGTTTGTATAGCTGTGACAGTGTTAATGCAGCAGGAATGTTACATTTAATTGATTTAAACAACAACAAAAACAAACAAATACCCAACCAAACAAGCTAAAAAAATCTCCCAGACCCAAACAAACCACAGACCCCAAATGTAGGTAGGTAATGATAGCTGAATTTCAGCAGCTCTAGGAAATTAAAGTCTATGTAAGATTTGTTCAGGCATTTCCCCTGGAATTATCACAAGCACCATTCCTTTATCATCTGAGGTGAGGGAACATTTGTAGAAAAAAGATAAGTGTTTCCTAAATCTGTCAGTGGCTTCTAGATATATCAGGTCTAATAAATAATATTATCTTGCCCCATGAACCTTGCTTCCTTTATCTTCCTAGGCAGTCCCTTCAGCCTATGACTACAAAGTCATCTTACTCATGCAAATGGGAAAAGAGAGATGGGAGGGCAGACTCCTACTGAGGGGTTGTTTACAAGCCCAAAAGCACACCTTTTTAAGAAAACCCCAAATAGTACCTTTTTTCATAAGTGATAGTTCTGTTTTTCAAATGATTCTCAGACACACACTTGATCTATTTAAATGCATTTTTTTTACTGTACTTATTTAAAAGAAATCTTTAAAAAGAACACTTAAATATTAACATATCTTAATAAGTGACTACTTCTCCTAAAGCAAAACAGATTTACTATTTCATGAGTACAGGGGTCTCCTTAAGTGTGTTGTTTATCTGTTGAATTGACACCTTAGACCTTGTTTTAGTCCCTGGGGATTTGCTGCCTGCAGTTTACAATATGCCATTTCCCAAAGAGGTTAGTGTTCCTCCAATATAAATCTTGATTTTTTTCATCTGTCTTGCAGATGTACAGCACTCATTCATGAAAAGAAAAATACACTCATCTGCATCTATTTATAAGTGTCATATTCTGGATCCTGCCCAAGTCAGCTCAAGCTGCATGCACAGCACTTGGCCAGAAGCAAAAAGCTCCTTTATTCACAAGGTTAATATTTAGCAGTAGACCAAATCCCATCTCAATTCCACCAGTGTAAATGATCAGTTGAGTAATCCTAGTGTTACAATGGCATAATTGAGATCGAACTTGGCTTGTAGCACTGCCATTTTTTCCTCTTCCCATGGCTTTTTCCTGCCAGGATTCTTGCTGAAATCAATGAATGTTCATGTCAGAGCCTAAACTTTAAGCTGCTTCTCTACAGCTCTGCAAAGTTGGGGTGCAGGCTACAGCAGAAAAATAGATCCCTAAAAGAGGAATTACATAAACAAGTGCTGTAATGCTGCTGTTGGCTGGAAGTCATCCCAGTGATTATTTGGAATGTTGTGCATTTTAAGGATGAAAACAAGCAAACAAGCAGGGCTTGAATATGTAACAGGGTGTTAGATGAGGTTGCCATTGCTGAGCAGTTGTTGTGCCTCCCCGTGGTTTGCTCTAACTTATTAATATTTATTTCATTCCTTTTCTAAAGTGGACCAGTGAAATATGTCCTCACACATTGGCTAATGGTGCTCACTAATAGCTGATATTACCCCCCACCACCAAAAGGGAGGCAAATGTTCATGCAGGATATAAAGAGAGGCCTTAATGAATCAGTCAGTGCATCACTTGCCTTGGCTGGCAATAAACTGATTTATTAGCACTGCTGATACTACATGCAGCACTTGGAAGAATGGAAAGCACAATCCCCTTGTCTAGTGAAGGATGAAATAATAATGGATAAAACTGATAAAATGTGGCTGGAGTTTTCCATGCTGTGACCTGGGTAGTTTTTTCCTCAGCACAGGTTATTAACATTTTCCATGGCTTCAAGGACGAGCCTTCCCCTAAGACAAACTTTCCTACTTTTTCCTTCTTCAGTTTTCCTGATTTGGTGGTTTTGTGTTTTTCAGCAATGGGTAGAAGGGCTTGGATCCATCATACATAACTTTAGAGCTAACAATGTCAGCCCAATGACGTGTCTCAAGAAACAGTAAGTTACTTTCTTTCCTCCCCTTTCTCCTTTGTTTTTCTGTCCTTGTATTTTCCTGGTTGGAATTAAAAAAAAAAAAAAAAAAACCACGTTTTTCCATAGTTTGACATTTACAAAGCAGTGTCATAAAGAAAATGGTGTTAAATGAGTTAAGAGGTTGTCTTTTATTGAGACCAAAGATGTCTCAAGGCTACATCTGGCACCTGCCCAGGAGAAATTACAGGAGAATTTATAACTGTTCATTTGATTTATTGTAGTGTATGTTTTAATTATTGGCTGGTTTGTTTTTTTCCTTGATGCATATGCAAGCAAAACCCTATGAGACTTTCTCATCTTTACACTTGTGTTAATTGCTGTAGTGATTTTTTTGAGCTGCTTTTTGCCTTTACAGCTAAAGAACTGCTTTGCCTCAAGCACTAAAAGGTTACAGAAAAATGTTTTTATTGCAGAACAATTATTTGTTTGTGCTCATTTAGCAGACATGGCAATAAGTTAAACATAAGTATCTAGACCCCAATTGTAATAAATAGTATTTTAAAAATATTTTATTTCTAATTTCAGCTGGATGAAGCTGGCCTTTCTAACAAACACAAATGGGAAAATTCCAGTTCGGAGGTAAGCACAGTTCGGAAGCTCTAGGTTTTTTCAGTTCCTAGCTCTATAATTTGAATAAAATTCTGTGGCTTAATAATGGAATATAATATTAATTTTATTACTAATACATATAGAAGAGTAAGTGCAGAACTAGATATTCTTATCTACCCTCCTTGGTAAGCTAGGCAGGACTTCTTATCAGCATAGTAATTTTTTTTTTTGCTGTCCATTGTAATGAAGATATGAGTCCTTCTAATAGTTTTCAAAGTCACTTAGAGCTAAGAGCATCAGATTTCTCTGCCTAACTTTTCTCAAAGCCTGGGATGGGTTTTTCAGTTGTAAAATTTGATAAAATACTTTAAAAAAAGAACCATAAAAGCTTGCAGGCCAGTTAAGTGGAGGACAAAAAGGTACTTCTAAACTGTAGTTCCTTGTAAAAGAGACATATATGTGTCTGCCAAAAATGCTTCTGCTTTTATAGATACCCCCAGGATAATATTTGTTTTGTCCACATGGTAAATGAATTGTTGGGTTACTTGTTGTCAGGAACAAGGAACAAGCCAGAACAGCATCTTTCTTTCTGTGCAGCTATTAACTATTACAAGTTACTGGTTTTCAGTTCTCTGGCTAGGCAAGAATTCACCCCCCTCCTGCTCTAAAACTTCGTTCTTGCTTATACATTGAGCTGCTTTTCTCTTCATAAAGTACATGCAAAGCAGATTTTTGAGGCATGCTGGTTTTTCATAAAGAGAAACTCACAGAAGGGAGCAAGAGGGAGGAATTTGTAAGATAAATCTCACACAACTTATTTTTTTTTTCTGAAGAGGGAAAGAGGATTTTCCATCTGTAAAATCTGCAAAAAAACAAAGGGCCTGCCATGCTGCTTTCCAGATTTCTTTAGTTTCATGACTCAGGTGACATCTTGACAGTGTTAAAGCTGCTTCAGTATATCAATCTTGCAGTTCTCACATGGCCAAGTCCCTGCTTATTTCTCAAACTCAGCTGCCATGAAGCACCTCCTGTGCAGAAGTCCCATGAGGAATATCATCAGCTGGAGGGTAACGATGAGGGAACAATACCACAGGGACAAATCAATTTTCAGGACTTTACAGCTTTATGCCTGTGTTTGAACACAGTACCCTATTCCATGGTATGAATTTATAGTGTGCTAGCTTGTCTGAAACTGTTTCTGCCTTTAAATATTTTACATCACGTTTAGTGAGGCATAAATTCTCTATGTTGTGCTTCAGCATACTGATTTGTGTAGGCAGACTGTCTGATGCTTAAAAATCCAGTTCACTGGGTCCAGTGTATTAAATCTTTAAATTTGAATTTGCACTATTTACAGGTTAACATAAATCAGTCCCTAGCAGTTTAATTTATTGTAAAAGTAGGTTTCTTAGAAATTCATAAGGGATCTATTGTTCCATGAAGCTGAATCTCCTTTGCATCTGGATACTTAGAATGTGCTATCTAAGGAATGTGCTATCTTGGTGTGGCTAAAATGTGGCAAATTTTGGGGGCTCACATGGGAAGTGCTGTATCACCCACTTAAAGGATGAGCAGAGGTGTCAGTGAGAAGAGGAACATAAATGGAGGACAGAAGAAATCAATCTGCTCTGCAGAGCTGCATTGTTGAAGAGGGGGAATCAGGGCCCTGTTGTAGGATGGCAAGGCCATGGGATTGGCCTGATCCACAGGAGCTGCTCATCATGGAGTGGGACACGGACACCCAGGGGTCAGCCTGGGATGGAGGGCATTTCACTGCTTCCCCCTTTCTTCCGTGAACCCTTCGTGCAGAGAAGGGAAATGGAGAGATCAAGAGGAGACAGGAGGAGGGAGATGCATGAGGAGAGGGGTGTGTGTCTGAGGAAGTCAAGGAAGCACTGGGAAATGTGACCTGAATGGCTCTGCTTTGCAAGGGGCACTAAAGTTTCACATTTGCTACCCAGACTTCCTCCCCAGTACCTCTTTCACTGGTTTAAACCACTGGTGCTTCCCCTCCAACTGACCTTTCCCTTTTACTAGTTTTAAATCCACTGTTATTTACTCAGCCCTGCTTCCTCCTCCTCCTCCTGCTGCCAGGGGCTCCTGTAGCAGTTCCTGTAGCTCTGGGGATACAATGGGAATGTTTCTCTCAGAAAAAAAAAAACCCAGCAGGTTTGTTCAGCTGTAGGAATGTGTATCACAAGATCCACCTGTATTTCATTTTTACACAGAAGTGCAGTAAAACACCAAGGGGAAAAAAAAACCCCTCACCTGCAGAATCAGAGCTCCTTGCATTTCTTCCCAAGTTTGAAACAAATCTTGCAACTATCACATTCCCCATAGGGAATGATGAGCCTTGAGAAGGTGACACTCCTCAGGCTGTTGGGGTAAATATTAATATATTATTAATATTATTATAAATATTAATTACTCCTTGGCTGTACAGTTGGGAGTTTGAAAGTCACAAGGATTTTTCTGAAGCTACTTTTGGATTTTAATGTATTGTGGGGCATCTATCTGTTGCTCTCAATGTACTTTGTTTGGGAGAGAAGTTCTAGCAATTAGCATTGTGAAAACCTTAGGAGAGTAACAGTTTTGCCTTTTAGGCTTTAATAAATTTTAGCAGTCTGAGTCTAGAATAACATTTACTGCTCTTGCAAAGACACAGCATTTGTAGGATATTTTGTGTGTCCAGATTTTAACACTACTGTAACACATGAGCAAACAGATCAGAGTTTGTTAAGAAAAAAAATCTACTTGGCTTCTTCAACTTTCTGCTGGCAGAAAATAGATTTTCTATGGGAGTGAGTTGCATCTGCTCATCTAGAGCCTGGTTAGAAATTAGCTTTGCTCAGTCTATGCTTCTCCCTTTGTATAACTACATCTAAAAGGATTCAAGCAAGTTTAAGTTCTAACTATGAAAATACATATTAAAAATAGACAAATCTAAACTATGACAAATGAAGCTTAAATCTGTTTTTCAGTAGTTTAATTAATTTGACAGTAGAATTTTTTAAAGTGTGTTTCATATCAGTTACTCCAGAGTGTCTGGAAGAATTCTGTTTGAATACTTCAGTGCTGTTTGGAAATCAAAGTTAGATAATTCCTTGTACAGTGCAGGCAGGTCAAGCCAAGCTGATAAATTCAGTGAAGTCATGGTAGAAGATTGATTTCCACTGGTTGTGCTGGCTTCATTTTTGAGGTAATGGTTGGAAAGTGGTGAAGGACTGAATAAACCAATAATCCATCAACAAGCACGATAGAGTCATATCCCTCAGTTCCAGAGTTGGGAAGTATTTTAAATATTTTTGAGGAAGTACATTGGCATGTAACCATAAGCCCCAAACCAGTGTAGGTGGAACATGAGGAGTAAACACCTGTAGGTGTCAAGATGAATGTAAATCTGCTAGAATGAAGAATCTTCTGATGAAAGGAAAAGCAGTTTTATTTGCAATAGCCTTTGCAAAATTAATGTGTCATGCTGTATTTTTACAATCTTTTTTGATTCATGCAATCTTCTCTACACTGCTGCTCTCATTACAAATTACTGCTATGTTTGCTGTCAGCTTTTGTGAAATAAAAAAATACATTTGGCATCAAAAGTAAGTTCCCTGCAGCCATGGAATCTTGGCACACATCTGATTAATTACTTACACCAATATTACATGTTTTACAGGACATTTATTATTGGAGTCCAATTCATTACAAAAGACATAGAAATTTACAGGGCTGGAAATAGGTTGTAAATTGTAGAGCTAACATTTGTGTGTGGTTTAGAATTAGCAGGAAAAATAGATGCCTGAGGATTTTTTTAAGAAACAAGTGCCTAAAGTTAAACTCAGTCTGTATTTTAGTGAAAATATCTTGGTACTTATCAGCTTTGGAAAATCCAACAGCTAACTTAAATGCCTAAATAGGGACATAGAAATCTAACTGTTGTGAGGACCCAGTAAGAAGAAAAATATGGCTAAGTTTTTGTGACATTTTTTTATTATTATTATTTAGATATTTTCACTTCCTGATCTTAATTTTATTAGTATGAAAATATTTACATAGGCAGTTTAGAGTGTTTTGGAGAATAAAACAACCATGAATTGCTATAGCAACAAATAGCAGCAACAATTTGTTTCACATCTCTTGTCATGTGAAATTATTTATTATGCATGAGATTAACTAAAAGTCTCAGCAAATGTTTATCTCACTTGATGATAAAGAGCAACACATTCTTATCAGCAGCCACAGAGTGTTTCCCAGTGTACATCTTTTGTTAGAAATAGATGTTGGATACAGACTTGAGTTTCTCTCTCCAGACTAAGACACCAAAATCAAGGGGTTGTGGGTCACAGCATTTTAGCTCAAACCCTTAACAGAAGGCAGGAGAGCTGTCAGATGGGGATCCCCTTTTCCAGACCCAGAGATTATTTATTCTCATTTCAAACGGGAACAGAAATAGGCCATTCTCATATTGATCACAGCAAATAGATGCATTTTTGTGGGATATATCTCATTCCAAGTGAAACCAGTTTGTCAGTCATATGCATGATGAAATGATGCTTTGGGAAGGAGCAGGATGCTCATCAATTTGGTGGAAATATTCCAGTGGTAACCTACCTAAAGGATTTGTGTGCAGCATGACTAGGACAGGATCTTCTCAATGGCAGTGAGGTGAGGGAGGGAGCAGTGCAGCAGGGAACGGGGTTTGGAATGTGGCTGGAAGTCTCTTGATAGCAGCAGCTGCTGGAAAAGGGAAGAGGAAGGAAGATGCCTTTGGGAAGTGCCCACTCCTGCCTTATGGAGGCAGTTTAGTGGCTGGAATAGAAGTCACCACAACCAGGAATGACCAGAGATAAGAGTCTCCTCCCTCGGACAATCTGCTGCTTTCTAAACAGTCTTTTGTATCAGCACATAGCTTAAAGGAACAAACAAAAGAATGGCTCTGTATGCCAGTTTATTGGGGGGAAAAAAAAAACCCTCTTTTGTTCTGTTTGCAGTTCATTATTTTGATGTGTTTTCTAAAGGCTGGCTTGCAGGCAGAGCAGCGCTGCTCTGTGGTGCTTAGAGCACTTCTTCAACTGCATTATTTCTTGGAAGCTGCTTACATTCATCAATTGAAGCCAGAGGAAAATGTTGGCAGTAAAAGCAAGAGTGAGAGAGAGAGAAGTGATTGTTTTAAAAGTGACTAACATTTCTCTGTTTTTTCTTTTTTTTTTTTTTTTTTTTTCCATTGTTTTTTGTTTTAGCATAACCAGAACCTTTGCATCAGGTAAAACAGAAAAAGTGATCTTTCAGGCACTTAAGGAATTAGGTCTTCCCAGCGGAAAGGTATTTAATGGCTTTGAAGAACTGTTTTTGTATACTAATAAAGTGATGACTCATTCACGTTTGGAGCTGTAATCTAAGTCATTTGCATCACAAAAAGCGTGCCTATTGTGTGTTACTTACTAATGACTGGAGGTTGTTTACTAGAGCCAAAATGTAATTAAATCTTTATGACACAGAAGTCCTTAATACCCTTAGAGGAGATTTCCCTTCTTTTCTGTCACAAACTACCTTTTGTTCATTTATGCAAAATATATAAGCACAAAATATGTAGGAAATATTTTTTTTTTTTTTAATTCCTTGGACTCCTCCTGCTCTTTGCAGAGCTGCTCTCCAGCTCTGTCCCACTTGCCAGCAGCCCCAGAGAGGTGATGGCTTGAACTTCTTGGGTTTGGGTCGGTTTTTATTTTTTTTAAGCTTCAGAAGAAAAATAGATTGTTTTCCATCTCTGTGTTTATGTAGAATTATTTTTCCTGTGAGGTTAGAATACAAGCACATCAAACAGATCTATGATAAAGATGAATTTAGAATTATTTTGAGAGAGTACAAAAGAAACCAGGTAAATTTATAGTTGGGAAGGAGCTAAGCCAGTTCTCAGTTGTTTTTTTCTGATATAAAATATTCTCTTAGGAAAAGAGCACATAAGCTCTCTTGTCTGGATAAATGTACCTTTGCATTTTGTTGCAGAATGATGAAATTGAGCCTGCAGCTTTTACTTATGAGAAATTTTATGAACTCACCCAAAAGATATGTCCCCGAACTGACATAGAGGACCTCTTTAAGAAGATGTAAGTTCAAATTTAATATACTTTTACTTTCAAGACATTTTGTTGTATTTTAGTCCCTAACTAATAGTGACAGAACACTGTAAAATTTATCTACACTTGAATCCTAGTAGTATCAGCAGTACTTTAGAACAAGCTCCAGTCTGTTTTACCCCTTCCTCCCTTTTCAGACTGTTAATGTAAAAGTTCACTCTGTATTTTAGAGCAACTTTTACATGAGTTAAAGGAGGCACCTGGAACTTTTTTTTTTTTTTTTTTTTTTTGCATTGGCTTTACTAACTACTGTAATTTTTAACTTGCTCCTTTAGGTGATTAACACAGTATGTGAACTAATTAAATTAAGTAAGAAATTTGAAGTTGGAAAAGTTTCTTCACCCAATTTATTCTCAGCTGGAGGACTTACATGTTGTTTTATGAAGTAATGTTTGTTCAGGGATAGGAAGATATGTTGTGGGAGATATACTGTGCCAGGCATAGACAGTTAGTATGTTTTCTGTGACTGTTCATTTTGAGATTATAGAGCTACTTTCAAGTAGAAAATAGCAGCTGGTTTTAAAAGTGTCAACAATGTCAACATGTAAATCATACCTACTGTAGCATCGTGTATAAAAACTTACATTCTCTAATAAATTCCTTTTCAGCAATGGAGACAAAACTGATTATTTAACGGTAGACCAATTAGTGAGCTTTCTAAATGAAGTAAGCTTTTTCATACATTAACTACCATACAAGTCTGTCTGCAGTGGCTTGCTTCTTCCAATCTTTCCATTGCATGCACCATGCCATTATTTGCTATGCTTCTGATCTGCTGATCTTTCCATTATGGTAACATCCAGGTGCAAAAATCAGCTCCAGCCATGTGTGGTGTTGTGCTTTCTACATGTTGGCTTTGCAGTTGCATCTGTTGATTACTTGTTGCTGTGTTATGGTATGTGTTCTGTGTGGTTTAAATTTTTTATATATTGTTACATTTGATGCAGTTTCCACTAAAATACACCCAATATTTGATTGCAGGTAATTCTTTTACCTGTAGGCCCCAGCTAAATGTATCTGCTAATCCTTCTAGAATGGTAGAGAAACTGAAGTAGGAGTTTATAAACAGAGACTTGATTCTCCTCAGCAGTATTATTTCAATCTGTTACAAATCTAAGAGCTAAGAGGATATTTTAAGAGTTTGTATATGATTTTTAAAATACCATGTGTGCAGTATAGGAGGAAATATTTTTATTGCTGTATTTCCAGAATACAATTGTTGGCAGAAGTATTTAGTATTTCTTAAAAGCATCACAAGCGTGTGAAGTAGTTCAATAAACAGTCTGGGGTTGGCTCTTTTCTGTTCCTAAAGCACAGTAAGTTATAGAAAACTGCCTCAGTTGAAATTCCAGCAATAAATGCAGTGTGTGGATTTGACAAGAACACAGCCATGGGAAACAGACACATCCTACTTGGTTTTTATCAGTAGATTATTGTCATCCTGAACATGGGAAGCTGCCGACCTCACTATGTGACCTTTTTAGGTTCATTACCAAAAAATCTCTCCATCAAAAATTGTTTTACTAGTTATAGTTCAATTTTTATATGTTTTTATATATATATATATATATATATATATATATATATATATGTATATTTATTTACTGAATACTTCAATATGAAGATCCATGCTGTAAGTTCTCTATATATCAAATTTAAAATATAATTTTGTTTTTCAGTACAGAACGTGTGCCTTCCTCTTCACTAAACCTGAATTACTGGTAGAAAGGGTATTCAAAAAGAAAAGACAGAGAGAAGATTAACAGCTTGATTACTTAATTAGGGTAACATACTTGGGGCTTTAGTTCATATCTGTGGGTAAGTTGGAGCACAGGCTTAATCTTACTGCTGTGAGACATCCTTTTATCACAGCTATTTACACAATTCAGTGTCTAAATGTTTGCAGGGCTGGGGTCAGAGCTAAGGCTTGTCAATTTTGCTTCTGCATTGGAGAGAGAAAGGATAATATTGTGATCTAAATTATAAATTATCCCTTTAAAACACCTCAGCCCCCAATTCACCTGTAGTGCTGGATGCATTTTACTGCTGGAAGCACACAGCCCTATGGCCACTTTAAACCATATTAGCTTCTGATTTTTATTTGTGTCACTCTTCATTTTCACATAAGTTACTATTTTATCATTATTTTAAAATTGATCACTAATTGTTTCATTTGTATCTCCAGTAACTGATTGAAAAATTGAAATTGAATGTTTGTGCTCTCAGTTTTGTGTTGCTTTAGCAGTTCTTTTTACAGAATTAGAAACCTTATTTTATAAGTAGTATTGGGGAAAATGCATCTTGTTGACTACATTCACATTGACAAAATACATTTTGCAATTTGAAATCATGTGGTTGGCCCTTTAGTTGGGGACCAGAGCTGGGAAAAATTACTCAAGTGTTTTTTGTTTTGGTTTTTTTTTTTTCTAGAGTAGGACATTTATTCTGGTGACTGAAACCAATGCCTTTGGTCTGTGTTGGAGGTCCTTTAGTCTCCAAACAAAGTTTAAAGTTTCGGTCAGAATTTGAAAGGCACAAAATTACCCAGAATGTGCCTCCTGAAGGGATCATTTCTGTCCCCTTGGCAGCTGACCAGCACTGCAATTAGCAGTGGTGTCTAATGCTGGCAAATATTAAAAGGTTATTATCATTACATAGGAGAGGGGAGTTACTTGGCAGAGCAACTCTTCATGAGACTCTTTAACTTTTAAATTATTTTGAAGTAACCTCCAAGGCATGCTACAGAAGCTCTAAGTATTATGGGTTTTTAAGAGAGCCTGAGGATATGTTACTGAGTATGAGAGTGTGTTTCCTGGAGTTTTTCCAAACTCCTGTCTCTATTTGACTTTTAAATGCTGCTAGCTGACAGATGATTTAATTGTGTTTCAGTATTAAAGCTTCTGGGAAGGTTTTAGAAACTTAATTGTTGTCATGAGCTGAATATTTTGTCTAGATCTTCTATTTTTAAAGTCAAATTTTGGAAAAAAAAAAAGAAGGAAATATAGTAGAAAAGGCACTGAAATCACTACCATTGAGATTTACTCCTGCAGTTCATTTACATCAATAAAATAACAAGGCAAGTAACAGTGAAAATGGAATTTTCAGTAGTCTGACCAGGACTCATCCACTTTTTTGGGAGGGAGGTATGGAGAGATCCTTTCCTATTTCCAAGTCTTTGCTCTTCATGTTATCTTTTGAGATGAAATTTCATCTCAATTTCAAAATCAAAATTTAAATTTTGGTCTGCTTTTGTGTCACAAGTTCCCTGTGCCACCAAGCTCTGTGGTACAGAATGTTTCCCCAAAAGACACTAGAAAATATGATCACTTTTAAAAAGTAGATCTTTATCTGTTGCCAGCTTTATTTTTTAAACAAAGTGAACGTAACAATACACTTTTGTTCCACTGGAGAATTGATTATGAGCAATGATCATTGCTGCTGGAAGAATATTTTGCTCTTAGCTCCTTCTGATAACTCTGGGACTTTTTCTCAAGAGGAGACTTTTTGCTTTATCCCGTTTATTTTCTTCTGTTTGCTCATTACTAACTGTAGAAGAAAAGGAGTGGGGAAGAACCCTTTTCTTGAGCAAAGAACCTTCCCTACAATTTCTTACAATTTTTTGGGGTGGTGTATTGTCACTAATGGTATAAAAGCCTTGTCATTTGTCACTTGTCACCGTGGAACTGTTGCATGCCAGTGTTGTGGTGGTGTTGGTGTGTGCTGCTGAGCAAGTCATGTCCTGCATCCATCTGCTCTCGTGTCATGTTTCATCTGACTTTTACTGGGGCATCCCATCTGCCCTGAACAAACTTGCTGTGTTTAGATGCTGCAGACTGCCAGTAGCATTACTTGAAAAATCCCTCTTTAATTGCATGATTAAATTGGCATTGGTTGTAATTTCTTGGAGTTAATTAAGCACGTGCACCAATGGATTGGTTGTAAGAAAAGAGATTGGATTGGATATTGCTTTTCTCATGGGGAAAAAAAAAAAAAAAAAAAGTCAAAGAAGTTTCCACATAAGGAATTACAGCAAATGCTGATAGTGCTGTGTAAGCCATGTCAACACCATCCTGTCCACTCCAAATTATTGATTGCCAATATGGGGGTGGCCTGTTACATCTCTGAATTCTGCTGAAACTAAAGCTTGGAAACTGTGCACCTTCTGGGGTAAAAGAGTGTTTTCACAGTCATATTTATTTCTTTGTTTTGTTGCATCTGCTTACATGCCACTACTCCGTCAATTCTGGTTTTAATTTTCTTTTAATGGAGAATCAGGCACACAGTGTGCAGCTCTAATCCAGCATGGAGAAAAAAAACGAAATTACATAGCACACTATAAAGTGAAAACATAAAATTCTGAATTTTATTAGTCTATTAGAAATCACTGCTAAATTGTACCTAAACATGACATATATTATGAAATCCTAATATTGTAAATTATTGTGAATTGAAGAGATGATGCTGTGAAATTCTTGTGCATATTTCTTCTAAGAACCTATGCTGGTTTTTGAATAGTTAAAAACACGATGTTTCCACGATTCACAAATAATTATTCAGTACTTGTATATTTCTAAACTCAGATTTCAAATTCCGTATTTATAGTGTAACTTGATTTTAATTTTTTGCTTTAGCTGTAGATACTGTGTAAGACTTGCATTTTTGCAGAGGTGATTACAGTGCCACCAGTCACTTTGCAAAAAAAAAAAAAAGGATTAGAGAGAGAATTTACAAAAGGACATTTAGCTATTTATTTTCAACATCTCATTTGCACAGATCCCATGTGCAGTCATTATTTTCATGAATGAGCAAGAGTAAGACCAGTTGTATGATTGCATTGGATTTTTCTTTTTTAAAAATATTTTTGTGATCCAACTGCCTAGGTTTCTTATGAAAGATGAAGTTCAGTTTCTACCTAATGCTGAAGTTGCTGTTGAATAGTCTGTAAATTTTAGGGCTGCTTTCTTTTTTTTTTCTTAAATGTCCACTTCTTTCTTTCTCATCTGCAGTAATGAAATGCTCTTGGATGATAGCCATGCACTATATTGTTTTGCTGAATTCCATTGTTTTCTAACCTTAGCATCAACGAGATCCTCGGCTCAATGAAATTTTATTTCCCTTTTATGACACAAAAAGAGCAATGCAGATAATTGAGACATATGAGCCAGATGAAGACTTGAAGAGGAAAGGTAAATGGGGAAGGGAATTCAGTATTCACTGGGTTTAGGCATTTGGGGAATTTGTTCTGAAGCATTCAGACTTTTAGAAAGGAGTTTACAGTCCCTGTGCTCTGGGGACAAACACTCCTGTAGGGTACTGGACCAGGAAACCGCTCTGCTGAAAAAAATACCTCCCCCTCAAAATCAGACTTTTTTTTAGAAGGATTATTACCCTGCTCCAGGTTAGAGTGTGGCTACAAATCCTGATGGAAAAGGGAGAGGCTGGGATTGAGTAAATACAGAACAGTGGAGACTCCTTCCAGCGACAGGGCAACGTGCAAGTGCCTGTGGTCAAGGTCTCAGAGAGACTGCACAGCTCTGCAAAGTACAGATATGGTGCAAAAATAAAAAAGCAATTGCCATGTGCATCCACCTTCTTATAATATATTCTCTCTAGTGCTTGGGGGCAGCAGCCTGGCTCAGAACAGGGCATTTTTTGTGGGTGAGCTGAAAAATGTTCTTTCCCAGAAAGGTTGCAGGAAGTACCTGCAAGGCATCCTTGGACTGCTCATATCCTGAGCTGCTGTGAGTGTGGGAGATGTCAGTGGCTGAACTTAGTTCCCAGTTTTTACCCATTTTGCTGCAGCAGCTGTGTTGGGATCAGCTGCAGAAATGAAAAACTTTGCTTTCCCTCCCCTGCACTCCCTGCCCTTTTCTCTGGGTTGCTGTTGTGACAAGCAGAGAGGAGAGTGCAGCTTTGCCAAGTCCATCCTAACAAGAATCCTCTTTCACATTTAGGCTCATGCATCAAGTGCTGCAACCTCTGGATGAGGGATGTGCAAAGCAGGCAACAGAAGGAGGCAGCATCTAAGCCTGCCCCAGTAAAGCCTGAGGTTTTCCCTCCCTCTCTAAATGAACTAAATTCTCAAAGTATTAATTGATTTTTGTCAGGTCTGTCCCATTTTATTTAGAATTTTTAAAGACACTCATCTTTGATTCTTGATGCTAATGTATTTTAAATATTTTTCAACACAAGGAAGGTGTGCTAATGTGGCTGCCACCTGTTTAGGATGGAAGGTGTAAAAACATATTTTCTGAAGGTGGAAATAAATCTAAAACTGGGGGGAAAAATTCAACCATGGCTAATTATTTAACTTCTTTGATTGATTTTTATTTCTCTCAGGTTTTCAATAAAAGTGGAAAACCTTTTGCAGGGATGGAGTTAGAGAGAATAACAACAAAACAGTAGAAGTCCCCTCTGAGTGTTCCTCCAGGCATCTCAGCAGTGGCTGTTCTCTTCAGCTTCTTTCCCCTTCTTAGATAAAACTTTGTTGTTGAGAAAAAATAGTAGAGGACAACCCTTTTGGTTTATTTATTTTTTTTTTTTTTGCTAAATCATGTGGTTTAAGAAACAAGGCTGATGTACAAAGGGCAGTAGTAATAAGCAGCTGACTCTTCCTCAGTCACATTTCAGTGACAGGAGTGAGTAAAGCTGAACAAGTTAATGCTGGGCAGGTCAGTAACCAGAGCCTGCTCAGGGACACTACAAACCCCAATTCTTCCACCTGCTGAGTGCAAGTCCAAACTGCCAAGTCTGAGCTGTTGAACACACAGAGCTGAGGTCCCAGCTGTGTTCTGTCTAGAACATCCATCCAGCTGTGACATTTCTCCACAAGGTTATGTTCCAGATGTATCTGTCATCTGAGATATGCTGTGCTGCTGCTTTAAAGTACGTGGTAATAACAAAATAAAACCATTCTTCAAGTCAAAAATTCCCTTTTTCCCCCCTTCTCTTTCATACTCAGGATCAGCTGAGAGGACTTGAGTAAAACATTCTGGAACAGTTCACCTCTGGCTGACACCAAGCACAGAAAATTTAAGCTCCAGTGGAGGATTTTTTTTCAGAAAGTTAGGAGTAGAAAGGAAACTGGGATCACTCCACTTCTCTGTATAAGAGAAAAATTGACTTAAAGAAAATAGAAATAGGACTGCTGCAGCCTTGCCTTAACAATAGCTGAGTGTTCATAAATTACTTCAGAGAAAGTGATGTCAAAATTAGTGCCAGGTAACCATTCCCTGCAGTAGCTCTTTGTGAGTAATCTCTTCTTCCCAATCACAGATAATTTTAATTTTTCGGACTCTTGGCCTGTTTAAAACTGATATTGCCATACTAATTATTCCTAGTTTGGATTCGTTAAAAATTACCTCTTAATTAATGTTTTTTGTACTTTATTGAAGCATAGACCAGCAGACAGATATGAGAGAGGTGTTATGAATTCTGTGTTCTGAATTCCTGTATGTTCATTGTAGATTTCTGTTTTCATTTACAAAGGTATGAATATGCATTTCAAGCAGTGAACTGGAAGGTATTTTAGATTTTCCTAATGTTTTGTAAATGAACCACTGCAAAGATTTTCAGGTACATATCCCCCCCATATTTCTGTCAGTGGGGAACAGTCTCAGCACAAGCTGGTTGACAGTGATGTAGCACAGGACTAAATATGAAAGAGAGGAGGAAAGGGCCATAGAAGCCTGGTCCATGCAAGCTCACAATCCTTAATTTAAAAAGTCCCAGAGATCAAAATTGTTGGGACTGTTCTGAGGAGATGTCACCACTTATTTGTCTTCTTCACCTCCTTTTGCTGCCTTAGTTCTGCTGATGATGAGTGCTAGACCTCAGGTGTTGAACTGGTGGGCACCTGATTTTTAATTTGGTTATCTGGGAACATCATGGCACATTTTACACCAACTTCTGGGCAGCCTGGAGCAGAAGAAGGGGAGAGCTTGCAGGAACCTGTGTAAATAACAGGTTCTGTGTTAGAATTCCTGCTCTGTGAGATGGTTGGACTCATGTTGACTCTATAAATTTCTGGTAATAATTTACCATGCCTTCTCCTTCCTTCCTTCCAGGTGTCATATCCAGTGATGGCTTTTGCAGATATTTGATGTCAGATGAAAATGCCCCAGTTTTCTTAGACCGTTTGGAATTATATCAAGAAATGGACCATCCTCTGGCTCATTATTTCATCAGCTCCTCTCACAATACATATTTAACAGGCAGGCAGTTTGGTGGCAAGTCTTCAGTGGAGATGTACAGACAAGTGCTTTTGGCTGGATGCAGGTTGGAAGCAGGAGATAATAAATATTTGTGACTCTATTACTTTAAACTGAAAATACTACATAAAGTATCTTGGAGTTGATATATTGTGCAATTGAATGTATAAATATGTTAGTGTGGCAAATGAAAACACGTGTTTGTTTAAGAATCTTATTTTTCTCACCAAAGTTATTAGAGGCAGAAGAATGTAGAAATTGATAATAAAGAGAGAATTTGTGAGAAAGTTAACAGAAGTTTGATCTCAAAATGACAGCTGAATAATTTCAGAGGGCTTTCTGCTTTATAATTATGAAGTTTATATGAGAATCAGGAAATTTATGATTTCCTGCTGATTTTCTTGACTTACTCTAATGAGAATAAGAAGATCAGCACAGTGCTAAAGACATTATTGTCTCACATGCCATAATTAAAGTGGTATATCCAAAGTTAAAGAAGAAATCTGAAATAACACATGAACAGCTTAGAAAGAACTGTGCAATGCCCAAAACTGATTTGCAACTTTCTGCTCTGACCATCACTGCTAAAACATGTCCCAGTTAGCTCACCTGTAATAAAACTCTTAAGTTTATTTTTCTTGGATCTTTAGATGTGTCGAGCTGGACTGTTGGGATGGCAAAGGTGAAGACCAAGAACCAATAATAACCCATGGAAAAGCAATGTGCACAGACATTCTTTTCAAGGTAAATGCCTGACCTCTACACCTGGCAGCAAACCCCTGGAATAGCCATGGACAAGAATCCAACAGGGCACCCTGCCCTCCTCAGCACTGGGATGCTGCTCCTGTGTGATGCACTGACTTGGGCAGGATTTCTGGCCCAGATTTTGGGGCTCATTTCTAACTTGCATCACCCACCCCTGTGCACAGAAACTGCAGGCAGCAGACTTGCTGCTTTTACCCCACTTCTTCACTTCCTGGGGCTCTTCTTTTTTTTTTTGTCTGAGAAGTTCCTTAGCTGTGGAAAAAGCCTGAAGATGCAGGAGTTTTTCTGGGAGTAGGAACTCTCCTTCTCTCTTCATTTGCATGTTTAAGACAGCCCTGTGTTTCTCAGGATGGGGTGGATAATAAAATAACCCCTTTTATTATGTTTTTAATTTGATTGATTCTCATTTGTATCCTGTTTTTGCTTTTTTATAGGATGTAATTCAGGCCATTAAGGAAACAGCATTTGTTACGTCAGAGTACCCTGTCATTCTTTCATTTGAAAATCACTGCAGGTATGTAGTGCCCATTTTTAATTTTTAAATCGTGCATTGTCTGAGAGAGATGATATAGTTTAAAATACTATGGTATGATACTTGGAAACTGTGGGGGGGTATGCAGGCATACTGAATGTCACTTAATATACCATTAATATACTAATCAATCTTTATGGAGCTTAATAATGGCAATATTTTTATCTGTGATAAAGCTGTGAAATGTATTTGGATGTTCCATTAGCTGTGTGAGATTGAGTTATTCTACTTTTTGGCTCTTGTTAAATTCATCTATGTCAAATAATAGACTTTTATTGACAGTATAATTACAGTAAAGTAATACTTCTCAGTTGAAACAAAGTGGGCAGTATATAATTTAGGATGTCTTCGTTACTTAGTATTATTTTTTTGTGCTGAGTGATAGTGATTTCTTTTTTTATATTTAAAAATTAACTGACATGATCTTTTCCAGCAAATATCAACAGTACAAGATGTCAAAATACTGTGAAGATCTTTTTGGAGATCTCCTGTTGAAGCAGCCTCTAGAAACACATCCAGTATGTTGCATTTTGCCAGTCTCTCTTCTTTTGTTTTTGTATTCGTTTTATTTAAAAGAGATGATAAACTGAGATCCTATCACCTTTAGTGCTGTTCACTGCCAGTCCTGTGCTTTCAGAAATGACTAGTGGTTTTGGGTGACTGTGCTTTTTGGTACAATCTTGTCTTTATCTGGTTTGTTTAATCTCTCTGTACAGGCAAGCAGCCTGGGGAAGTCCCCCCCCTCCCCTTGATGTGTGCTGTAATATCAGCACAGCACCTACAGAAAATACACCACATACATTGTCTTTGTAGGTCATACCTCACTCTGGAATTGCCAGTCACTGTTTAAAAACAATAAGTTATAACAATGAATTACAAATTGCATGGTCTCAGCTGAAGAAACCTCTTCTTGCAGCTGCACATTGCATGTTTCATGCTCCAGGTAATGTCCTGCAGTCCAGGTTCCTCCACTACTGCATTAAAAATTACATTAGGCACCAAGAGTTTCCTGCAGGCTCATTTGGACTATGAAGTGCACTGTAATCTGCATGCACTTCACTCTCCTGCATGGCAGGAGATAACAGCAGACACTCCTTCACAAACACAGTATTTGAGACTTAACAGCTTCTTACACAGTGCTGGCTACTCCTCCTCCAGCCCTTCCTTGCTCCTTACAACCAGCTCACTGTGTGCCAGCACTCACCCAAAGCCTGCAGGACTCTGCCTTACCTTTCAGTGGCCCTGGCATTAGCATCCCTAGAGCTTTGCTTTTCCTGCCTTTCCCAGCAGCACACAAGGCTTGGTGAATGCCCTGAAAAGTGCATCCCAGAGAGCTAAACCTGCAGTGTCCCCCTGTGATGTTTGTAGCACACTGCCATATTCCTCACAAAAAGCTTCCTGAAGCTCTCTGGGAAGCTTAAAATAGAGCTGGCCAAAGTCTGCCATGCCTCTACCTCGGGGCCCAGTATTTAGCCTCAGCTGCCTGTCTGTAGCACTGCTGAGCCTTCTGCATTTTGTGTCCTTTGCTCCTCGTGGGTAAATTCAGTTCCCAGCTGCTCACAGAGCAAACACTGCAGAGGTGGCAGGAGGAGCTTGGAACTTGGATCCTGATAACCTGGGCTGGTGGCTGAGGGAGGCAGACTTAGGAGAGACATGGCACTTGGCTGAAGCAGATTTGGTTTTGAGTAAAAACAAATATTTGTCCAAACGGGCATCCAAGTATGGCCTTTTCTGGGAATGAAGCCTGGCATGAATGAGCTCTGCAGCACTGACATCTAGTGGAGTTACAGCCCCGGTGCTGTCAGAGCAAATGTATTCTCTTCATCCAACATGCTGAAACTCCCTGCCTGAGCCAGCCCGATTGGTGTGGAGGACCCTTACCCTCCCACGAGGTTTCCTAGTGTTGGATTGATATGGTTTTGGAGTATTTTGGGGGTTTTTTTGGTGGATTTTTTTTTTTCTCAGCTGTTACTTGTCACCTCTGCTGGTTTTATTTGGTTTCAATTCATGGTGTTTTGTTCTTTTGTTTGTTAACCTGGTGTGCTGCTTCTCTCTAGCTCAGATTTAGATTAAGATATAAGAATATCTGAATAGTTCTTCCAAAAATTGTCAGTATCCATGGAAATACCTTCTACTCTTGTATCATTTAGGCTTCACTGAAAACCCCAGTCTGTTATGGTGCTAAGAATGCCAAGTTGTGGGTGCAATCTCTGTATGGGCCATTCACTTCAGGGCTGACTCGATGATCTCTGTGGGTCCCTTCCAACTCACAATATTCTGTGGTTATACCAGCAACTCCCTGAATAATGTTCTTAGCAAGCCTGAGGTGGAGAGGGTGCTAATTACCTTACCCAAATCTCAGTTTCTTAGCCTCAGTGATGTGATGGGGCTTAAATCAGAGGATTTCATACTTTTTTCTGAATAATATTTTTTCTCCTTCCCCAAACTGGAACAAAATCTTTTATTAATACTTCCTTGTACATGTGTGTGAAACTTCCCCTTTGCCTTTGCCAAATACTGAATTTGTGACCCTACTGGCAAAACCAGTCCCCATAACCTAGCTGAGGGCTGGGTACTTTTCCATTCCCCAGTGCCAGTCCATTTCCACTCTGCAAGTGTGTATGGGCTGCCTCACTTGTGTTCCTGCAGCTCGAGGGGACCATAAAAGGTGACTTATTTAGAGATCAAATGATAATGGGCTAAGCTGTGGCTTGGGCTGTGTGAACCACAGAGAGAGAGAGAGGGAGAGAAAGCAGGAATTCCTCTGATCATCCACACCCCCTGCTAGGCAGGAGAGAAAAATGGGAAAATGTTTAGAGCAGTGCAGCTGAGAGTGGCACAGGCTGGAGACCTGAGTGCTGACTTCATCCAGCAGCTTTACCTGAGCACAGCTTCCCCCTGGGATAGGGAAGAAGCAGAGGAAACCGTGTAACTGCAGCCCCACAACTTTCTGGGGTTGTGCCTGAGGTGGCACTGCTTGTTCACTGCCCCTTGGTATTGCTGTCCTAAAATCCAGATCCCAAACAGGGATAGAGAGAGGCCAAATAGCTGTTGTTATTATTAAGCATTTTCTTTGAATTGTTTTACAGCTTGAACAAGGTAAAGCCTTACCATCTCCTAATGACCTCAAAAGAAAGATTCTCATAAAGAATAAAAGGCTGAAACCTGAAGTAGAAAAGAGTAAGTAACATTTGTCAAATATTAAATGAACAAAAGTCCAGATAGCTACAAACAAGACTTTGTTACTAAAGTTTCCAGATTGTTTGTACATTAGTGTTGGAAGAATATATGTATTATATGTAAATAACATTTGGTTTGCCCTTGTGTTCCATGTGAGTGCCAGTGTAGGCCTTGATATCAGCATGCTGCACAGGCACAGACAGACCCAGAAATGTAATCCTGGGACTTTTATCAGACTGCTGGTTGAGCTAAAATATAAGGCAGATAGAATCTCTTGTAAATTCTGCCTATACCAGTCTGTTTGCATTGCTGTGTTTTTCCAGGATAAGCATGAAATGAAATGGAATTTCAAATTGCTCTTCTTGCTGTTGTTGCCAGTTCTGATATTTATCTCCTTTCAGTAACAATAATGTTGCTATATTAGTTTCCAGTATGGCAGTAATGATAAACCCTGGTCCTTCTCCATTCAAAGATAAGCACCCAGGCCTTGCACTGGCTTCAGTCATACATGGCTGTGCTCCTCCTGTCTAACTGAAATGCACACGGAAACACAATGGAAAATCCAAGCACTTTGCATGGATCAAGCACTGAAGAGACAGCTGTTTATTCTGTGAGGAAGTAATATGCTTGCTCCAAAGACCTTTGAAGTCTGTGGAAATTTAGGGGGAATTTCTTCACAGAAAGGGTGATTAGACATTGCAGTGGGCTGCCCAGGGAGGTGGTGGAATCACTGTCCCTGGAGGTGTTTAAGGAAAGACTGGATGTGGCACTCTACCACTCTGGTTGACAAAGGTGCTGGTTCCATCAGAGGTTGGATTCAATCTCAGAGGCCTTTTCCAACCGAATTCATTCTGTGCTTCTGTGAAATATTTTCCTTAATTTCAGTGAGTTTTGGACACAGCCCTTACTGACCACGTTTCAGATCTCACAACAGTCTGTGTTTATTGATGCTACTTTGTAAAATGTTATTACCAACTGAAAAGTCAGAGGACTCATTAAAGAGAAGTAGATCTGAGGATCAGGGAATCATTTGTGATGGTTCTCTTGTATTTCTTTGTGTAACAACGTGTTCATGTCATGACTAATTTCATTTTATTTTTTTCATATTAACAGAGCAGCTTGATGCTCTGAAAAAGATGATGGAGGCTGGGGAAACTGCTGCTCCTGTAAATATCCTGGAGGATGATAATGAAGAGGAAATAGAAAGTGGTGAGGATTTCCTGGAGAAGGGCTCTCAGACATTGCCTGTGGTAGATCAGTGGGCTGGGTGCCCCTCACCCACATGCCTGTGGTCTGTGGCAGCAGCAGCAGGTCTGGGCTCAGTGCAGGACCACGTGTACAGACCCCGACCTTGCCACCTCATCCCACACAATTTTAACTTAAATTTGCTGTTCAGAAGTTTTATTAGAACACCTACCATGTCAGATTTTCATTCTGCCTGTGAGAGAGAGAGACTAAGTTGTGATCTTTGCTTTGAGAACACATATTGTCACTGTGTTTAACACTTGTGTCAACATCAGAGGGGATTATTGCATTATACTTTATAAGGATCAAATGAGGGGTAGAATTTTTCTTGCAAACCTGTTATCCTCAGTGTAAATATCCAGTTCTGAGCCAGTGATGTGGCCAGCAGAGGAAAATACACATATTTAGGTATGATCCACCCTGTCTGTTTTAAATGTCCACCTTCAGAGGGTGTAAATCATGCACTGCCTGCAAGTGTCTGAACCAAAGGACTGGCCTGTCACCTGTGTCATAGTGAATGTCCCAGCTTTAGACTACCACCGGTCCTCTCACATATTTCACATATTTTTTTCCCTTTACTTTTTAGCTTTGAGTACTGTAGGTTCTAATGGCAAATCACCTTAAAAGCAAATGAGAACAATTCCCTGTAGTGGGGGCACACAAGGTGTCTGACAATGCACTCAAGAAGCCTGGCCTCTGGCATCTTCTTAGATCTTTATTTGAAGAACTCTGTCATCAGTTCTTGTTATTTTCCAAAGTTATTGGCTTTTAATTTTTTACTGATTACTTCAAAAATACAGCAAATAAAATTTCTCTTATTAACCATCTTAGGACCAGGCCTTAGATGTAATTTACTGTACTTGGAAACAACTAACTCTTAGAAATCTAATACCCTGGATTTTATTTCTGTTTTTAAAAAAATGCCAAACCCAAACCTGTGAATTCAACTGTCATTTGTTTCATGCCTTGCAAAGAAAACAGCAGTTGCTGTGGTTTTTGCACTGATCCTTTCTGTTTTCTGTGCAGCTGACCAGGAAGAAGAAGCTCATCCTGAGTACAAATTTGGAAGTGACCTTACTGTAGATGATTACAGTCAAAAAGAAGCTGTTGCCATCAGTGTCAAAAAGGTGGGATTGCTTCTTTCATATGTATTTTTATGAAAATTTTCCATGGAGGTTGTTGCAAAGGGCACTCTGCTTTGTGGAAACATCAGAGCACTTCTTGGAAGATTCAAACCTGAGATCTTCACTAGGTGCCACTTACCTTTAGGTTCATGAGAACACAGCTTTTTGGCCAAAAATACTCTCCCCTTGTTCAGGTAGGATATACTCATTGAGGAAACACAATCAGTATGTAGGGAACAGTATACAAGTGGAGGATTTAAGCAGAAATACTAATTAAAGTCAGCAAACAGTTTCCTGCTCCTGCCTCTGATATTTTACTTTGCATCTCAGGTGCAGAATCCTAATAAGAGATGGAACATCAGCTTCCTTGCTCAGCAGTATTTTTGCAGGGCTGCATTCTGTGTCTTCACTGCAGGCTTTTCCTGCATCATTTTCCATGGTTAACCCTTAGGGCAGGTTCTGTCTTCCACCTCCAGCAATGAAGGCAAAACAGGACAATAATTCCCAGTGGGGTGGTGTGGCAGGGGGGCTCTATCAGGCAGCCAGCTGGCAGCCAGGGATAGAACTCTCTTTATTCCACTCACACCTGACAATTACAATTTATCACTCTGTGCTCAATAACTTGAATATTAGTTGATGGTAATTAGATACAGAATATTGGAATTCAGAATTAAGCTGCTCTGGCACTGAAGGCAGTAGTGCTGCTTGCTCCAGAGAAAAGCCCTCATGTGAAGATTAAGGTACCTTATCAGATCATGTTCCTCTGTCACTCAAGTATTTTGGCCACTTCTTTCCTCCTGCTTGGTTTCCTTTGGATCTTCCTCCAGACAGAAGTATAGGTGTGGAAAACAGCAGTACCAGAGACATCAGACCTGCCTTCTGTGTATCTCTTCAAGTCAACAACTTTGCTTCTGCAGGACTTTTATGGATCCTCCCACTGAAGTATCATTTCACTTCTTTGCTTTAGGGCAGTTTCATTTACAAAGTCAGCTGGTCCTTAACTATCTGAATGTTTTGGGATGTTTTGGTTGGGTGGGTTTTTGTTGTTTTTGTTTTGAGGAATTTTTGTTTGTTTCCAGATTAGTTGCTCATCCTCAGCACATCCTTGGGTAATTCCTCTGCTTCTTTGCTGATCAGTGGCTTGATCTTTATTATGTAGGAATGTACATTCAGTGCCAAGACAATATTTATCTAAGATTCTCAGTACTGGTAGCTTTTAACTGAAGGCAGACACCAGACTGCACCATTGCAAATAACATCTTGAAACAGGCCTTCTCCAATGTGGACATTTCAAGCACAGTTTACAGTATCTTAACCCTCAGTTTTCAGAGCCTGGCAGTTTGCACATCAAGATCAGATGATCTTTATTGTGCTATCTTTATCTGGGTGTGTTATTCTTTCATTCTTCTCTCAAGCTTCCTGTCCCTAGCATTTAGTGATAGCTCTGGTTTAGGCTTAACTGACATCCTTCATCCTATTCCCATGGCTGAGTTTCAGATCTTGTGTACCCAAATTTGGAATAGACTACAGTTTTTGGAAGTGAATGGGACAGATAAGCCACGCAGGAAGGTGGAAAAGGGTTTACTTTTTGCTAAATGCATTAACTTTTTGAGGATTTTTCCTCCTTACTGTATTTCCTATTGCTTTTTCTTTGGGTAATGTATATATATTTTTTTTCCCTTAGGCTGTTGAAGATTCTGAGCAAGAAAACAATAAAAAGGTGACACAGGATGTAATGTAGTTTATTTTATTGCTTTATATAAAACATGCATATTACTTACCATGCATTCTCAGTGCTTTAACAATTTTATTCTCAGTTTCACTGCACCTATTTTTGAAAGTGACTCTACTTCCTTTTGCCCTCTAGGGCTTCTTCTGCTAAACTTTTATAATGGGGTCAGAAAATCTGGGGACAGACAAGAGTGCATGACCTTTGCCTGCTTAGAAGTATCTGATCTCAGTCTCCAATGTCATGCACTGGGAAACCAGTTCTCTGAATGGTGTTGAGATGTATCATCCCTGCTTGATTTTTTTCCTCTGCCCTTACCCTGACTGCACTTTGTTTTCCTCTCTCTTTCTTCCTTTTTGCTTTCCCTTGGGACTTCTGCATTTTTCTTCTCCCAGGAATCCCTTCTGTAAGACTCTTCCCACCTCTTTCCACTCTCCTGCTCCTCCTCTTCTCTCATTCAAGCTGTTCATAACCACACTTTGTTTCAATCTGTGTTGTTTTCTAAGTGGGTTCTGCTTCTTTTCTTGAGGGATGGGGAGGTGTAAATAACATGGAGATCAACTTTTCCCCCTTGTCTTCTCTATCTCCTAAAAAGATCATGTTCTGTTGTAACCATTCCTTTGTTTCTGTAGACTTTAAGAAACGTCCCATCCTTACCCCTTTCTTAACTTATAGTTTTAAAGTTGTGAACATTGTGGAGTATAGCACTACTCTAAAAATTAAGAGTCTGTAAGGGAATAAGATAAAATCAATGGCTAGTTCATTGTCTTGGGACACTGTCTTTGAGCCAAAGTGTCACTAATAGTGGGGCTGTACATGCAGGGTACCATTGCCTGGGCACTGAGGCATCATAATCCCTTTAACTCCCTTTTCACTGTGGTCCCTTTAGTTATAGGTGTGGATGGATCCAGACAGTCAAATAGGATTAGCAGTTCTGAGAAGTCAACAGGAGGCACTTTAAAGAACCTTAGGTTTTAGAAGATGGGTGGTCAGTTCTTCCTGATTTAATGGCCTTTTGAAAGTTGAGACACTGAAAAGAACTGGTTTCATTGAATACATTTTCCCTGAATTTGACCTAAGCTCTATTAGCAGCTATTGACCTAGAAACAAAAAAATCCAAAAAAACCAAGCAAATAATAAAAAAAAGGCCTGTTTTCTACTAACACAGGGATGTTCTGTTTGGCATATTTTGGGATCAGATCTGTGAAACCTCAATATGCACATTTCTGAAAAGCAGTTGGGTTAAGCCCTGATGATTACCATTAAAATATGGTGTCAGTTTGATTTCACGGGCTGCTGGAAGTTGAATTCAGTCTAAAATGCACATGCAACAATGTGTACCTGGACTCATTCTGCTAACTCAGTAATTGTATGCAGTCAGAAAATTGTGTTCCTTGTGGCTGTAATCTTCTCATACCAAGGCATAAATGGTTCCACTTCACATGGTTTTCATTCTTTGAGATGTGTCTGCACTGCCTGGCAGAGGTGCCATAATTCTGGCAAGTTGGGTTCACTTTCCCCTTACTCTCCCATCTCAGGAGTAAATGAGTTGCAGCAGTGTAGGTTCTGTAAATTGCATTTTCCTCCAAGCCCAGAAAGGGCCTGGTGGTGCTTCCTCTTATTGATTATTTCCTGAGTCAAAAATGAGGGAGAACTTCTGACAAACACGAGCTGCAGCCTGAAAAGAAAAAGCAGCACTGCAAGAATGTTTGAATACACTTCATACTTGCCAGCAGAAGATCACTTGTCAGCCTACAATCAGATTTTTTGGTCACTGATTCACTGGCAGGAGAACAACCAAAAATGCATGTGTAGGAGAAATATGATGAATTTGCAGAGATTGCTTAGCTTGACAAAGATTTTTTTAATTTTTTTTTTTCATTTCAGTGAAAAGAATGTGTTTCAGACTGGTCTAGAGAAAGGCAAATATTGGACAGGTAGAGCCAATTAAGAAATGCTTCATGATGTGGTTTCTAGCAGATGAGATACTTTTACAAAACTCTACATTCTGTTATAAATAAAGTGCATATTCATATAGGTGATGGATTCAGGTTTTTATTCAGTTCAAGTGGATAAGAATATGAACTTGGTACTGTGTCTCCTGCTGGTCTTGTGACATCTCTTTGTCCAGTGAAGGCTGTAATTCCTATATTTTGGTTTGCTTCTGTTAGTAAAGATTAATAGTGGAACTTATTTGTGTTTTGATGTTGAGGAAGTTCTACTGAGTGCCAAGTATACAGAGTTTCTATCAGAAAATGCATATTAAATCACAGTTTTTAGAATTTATTTGACAAAGATGGATCATTATTTCCCAGAATTGTTCAGGCTGTGGGAATATTTATCTTTTATCCCAGTGTTATCCTACTAATTTCATGTAATATTTACCCACTGCTTAGGAGCTTTTCTATCATCAGGCCTCTTGTGTGCATCCTGTAACATTGAGAGTCTTATATCAGCAAGAAAATCAATTTTAACTCGTGACACTAAACTTGCACTTTTCTTGTATTAATTTGCACTGGCTTTAACCTTCTGCAGATTTGGCTATAATTTTGTCCCACCTTTGAAAAACCCAACAGCAGTGTTTGCAAACAGAGATGGTGATTGTTCTTTTTAATGTGTTTTCAGGGTTTAGTAACTGTGGAAGATGAACAAGCGTGGATGGCATCTTACAAATATGTAGGTGCCACAACCAATATACATCCATATTTATCAACAATGGTCAACTATGCTCAACCTGTAAAATTTCAAGGTTTCGATGTAGCAGAAGGTAACACAAAAGGTTGAATGAAATACAAGTATTTGCTTAACCTAGGTAGTTTTTTAATCTCTACATTTCCTGAATTTAGAAATAAAGGTGTAAGATTCTTATCGTTTAATGACCATCATCAGTATGTTTGTAGACCTGTTTCCTTGAATGTAAAGCTAGCATGTTATTCCATTAGTCATCCACACGGAGTCACTAAATTACTGGGAGAATATGAAGCTGTTGAGGTTCTATTCCATGGGCCTTTCCCACTGAAATGCTTTTTTTGGTTCACATCTCTCTGCAGTAAGGTGAGCACAACTGTCACAGTGGTCAGCAGTGAGCTGACACTGCACATCAGAAAATTTATCATGTTGGTTTGCTTTATCTACCACATAATGCAGGCTCCGAATAACAATATTGGCCTAAACAAAAAATGAAAATTTTGTTGATTTCCCAGGCAGTGAAACAGAAAAGCCAGTCAGAAATAATGTGAAATTCCTATATGACTATAATTTGATTCTATGAAATTTCTTATCACTATGATTTGATTCCATGAGTAATAGATAATGGGGAAAGAGACCAAAAATTGCCGTGTCCTGCTGTTACAGTGCATGATTTTGAGTTGTGATTCGTCATTACAGAGGTGTTTTAAAATGTTTGTTCTTTTCTTTCTAGAACGTAATATTCACCACAACATGTCCTCTTTCAATGAATCAGTTGGACTAGGGTATTTGAAGACTCATGCCATTGAGTTTGTGAAGTATCCTTTCACCTCCTCATCCCACTTTTCTACCAATCCTAAAATAAACCAGTGCACCTTTCTAGATTTAGTGTTGCACCTCTACAAAGGAAAAGGGGAAGTACCTCATGGAAGGAGAAACAGTGAGATTAACATAAGAAGTGTGGTTTGATGTTGAAATACTGAAGATACCAGGACATGACTCTACATTTCTATGATGTTTTTGTTTCATTTTCCTTGATGAATTCTATAGTTACAATAAACGACAAATGAGTCGGATATACCCAAAGGGAGGCCGTGTGGATTCCAGTAATTACATGCCTCAAATTTTCTGGAACGCTGGCTGCCAGATGGTCTCACTGAACTATCAGACCCCAGGTAGGCAACAACGACCAGTGAACCTCAATCCTAAAGAATGGCTTGGGCAGGAACTCTCAAACAGATGCCATGGATTTGCTTCTGGCATTTTTAAGGAAACAGACATATGGCTAAATAATACAGCGGGGTGGAATTACAGAAGCGTAAGACAAGGAGCAATAAAAAAAGCCATGCACAGAAGGAAAATTCAGTCCTCTTTTATGGAAAAATAATGAAGTACTGCATCTTCTCACAGAAATGGTTTTTATTAATAAAAAGTGTTAATTACAGGGAAATCAATGCTTTCACAAAACACAGCTCTGGCACGGTTGGGTGCATGTCTGCAAAGCAAAGATGGAGTGCACAGATTAAGATGGTAAAAAGTAATGACTGTGTGACAAATGCATTTCTAGACCAGTTACTGTGAAATGTTAGGAGTCATATGCTCAGGAGCAGAGGATGGGGTCTGAGATCCCAGCTGAGAGAATGATGCCAGGGAATGGAAATGCCTCTCCACAGAGTGATCTGAGAGGAGATGCATTGTTCCTGTTCTGTGAAGGTGTGAGTATAACAGGGCAGGCTTTTTGTTGTTTTGATTGGGTTTTTTAATTTATCTAGAAATATCTTCAGTCATATATACCACAGCCCCATTTCCCATTGCCCTTTTCTGCTTCCCCCTCACTGAGTAGTGTCTTTGGTACTGCAGACACTCCTCATGGTCATCCCCTGAGTTCTGTCCTGCAAAGCTGTGCCCCAGTTTCACCAGCTGAGGAAGCAGGAGAGGAGATACACTGCAATATGCTGCTTGTAGAGCACTCCACTGGACATGACAGGGAGGCTGGAGCAGAAATACAAGCCTCACTCTGCTCCCAGCACTGCCTCTGGAATGAGCTCTGCATGTCCTTCCCAACCCCTTTATATTGCAAATTAAGAGTTGTAATTGTCGAAGTGGAAGTGAGCAAGTTTGCTGTATTCCTCTTCTGTGATCCAGCTGTGCTGTTAAGATGAAGATCATTGAGGAAATAAAAGTTACAGCTGCCCAGTAATTCCAGTAACAACTGGGATGGGCATATGACAATATTGTATTTTTTATATAAGAGCACCAACAGAATAGGTTTTGTTCCCTTTGAAGGTATAGTTGGGCAAGAGAAATGCCTGTTTTGTGGCTGAACCAGGAGGTTATATTCTCTGCAGGAAAGCATTTCATTTTTTTGAAAGTTCTGGAGAGGGTTGGATGAGAGGAAGGTTGTTACATGTTTATGATGTGTCTTTCTATACAAGTGCTGTAACAATGCACCAACTCACTAAAACTCACACGCTTTTAAGTGTTGAAACTAAGCAATGCTGCTGTGATCTTTGTGGTTTCTTTGTGTGGTATTTTATTCAACTAAGTCCACAGAAAACCAGTGAGATATGTACCTCACCTTCTTTAAAACATCAGCTACATCAGAGGGAGTTGTATTTCTGATGGAATACATTCTTCAAGGATGTCTCCTCTAGTATATTTTTTATTCTGATGTTATTTTTACTGTTAAAGCTCCTGCATCCCCCTGTTATTCAAAGTGGTCTGCAGAAATGGAGACACCTGTACCATAGATACCAAAAATTAGATGATGGAAATCCCATCCCAGGTGCTTAACATGTCCACAGTTGTTACTTCCCTGCCTGCCAAGTGTGTTTGAATTCAGGGAAGAACTATTTCCTAAGCACAGCATGGACTTCAGTGTGCTTGGTAAAGCTGTTACTCCTGTGAAAAAATATAAAGTTTTCCTGTTGCTTCCTTTTATTTCTTACATGTTTTATATGCATTAAATTAAATTTTAGTTTGAACTTATTATTCTGGAAAAACAGTCTTATTTTATGATCTAGTTCATGATTTGCATTATTCAGCAGGAAAGTTAGTAACTTTTCTCTCTTGGCAGATTTAGCAATGCAGTTGAATCAAGGAAAATTTGAGTACAATGGATCGTGCGGGTGAGTGATATGATTTAAACTGTTGTCACTGTGTAACAGAGTCATTTATTAAGGTTTTAATGACATTTTGTCACTGTGAATTATGTGTTACAAAAGGAAAAGAGGATGCTAGGTGAAGAGTAGAAATTAACAGAGTTCAGGGAGAATTTATCCCCCATATGGAGGGAGGTATTCTAATGAATATGCTTTTAATTATGCCCAGTTTTTAAATGAGATCAAAGAGGATTTGTGTTCCTGTTATGAAGATCATGAATATTGTACACAGTTATTGAAATACATCTCCACCTTCTGTTCTCTGCCTTTCTTTGAAGATATGCCTCAGAATGGAGATTCATTGCACAGTACACAGAATTGCCAGATTTTCCTGGACAAGTGGAATCTGAATACTTAGGGAACATATTTTTAATCTGTGTACTCTTAATTGGAGCACAGATTTCACAGAGAATACTGAAGTGTTTCGTCTGAGTTCTTGCTCATGATTTTTGCATGACAAAGGGTGTTCAAGTGATGCTGATGGATTTTTCTCAAATGTTGAGCATAGACCTTAATAGGATAGACTGATCATTAGCACCAGGAGAAAAGGAGAAACTTAATGAATCATAGGAAATGACAGTCCAGAAACACATTAGAATCTGCAAACTCCTCCTGAAAAGGAACTACTCTTTTACTACTGCAGCTCACATTCAGAAATAACATCTGAGTAGATGGAGCTTGGTAAAATTCCTCATTTGCAGAATGGGCACACAGTGCTTGGCCATTCCATGTCTTTGTTGCAGTTGTGAGCATTCCAAAAGAGCCTCTTGGCTTTGACAAAGGTGCAGTCTCTGTAATTGCAATCAAAATAACAAGAATAGAAGAAAACCAAAAGCTTTCTTATGGCAGAGTTTGGTTCCTTCCTTGTTGGACCCACCAGCTTAGTAAAAGAGTACCTGCTTACTTTTGGCAAATCCTCTGAAGGACAGGCAAAATAGTCAACTAAATTCCTGAATTCTTACATCAATTTTTTTTATAATAATGCATGGTAATATTTTGATATTTTGATATTATAAATGTGGTGGTGTTTCAGTCACAGAAAGGAAATGATAGACTGAACATTTTCCTTCTGCCTGTATTCCTCTTTTCTCGGACTTGCAGCTTTCATGCTGATGAAACAAAGTCATTTCAGCATTTTTTATTCCAGCAGGCTGGAAATAGAGGCTAGGGATAGTTAGTTCTCTTCTGCCCCAACCTACTTAAAATTAGTGAAATATTAAGAAATCATTATTCTAATGGAAGAAAAAGGAGTAATATTACTTTAAAACAGAAACCATGTTATTTAAAAATTGTGAAAACACTGACATTCTTTCCACTGGAATTTTTCTAGCATTTTTTTATCTCTAAATTCTGTCCAGGTCTTTATAATATTGTGTACCAGTGATTCACTAGAGAGACTAAGGGTGGATAAAAATTAATCTTCCAGCAGCTTTGTCTGTCAGGGTTGCAGAAATAGCAAGATTTTTCTGGTTCCACATTTTCTTCAGTGGAGAGAATGTCTGTAACACGCAGCTTTTCTGCAGTGATCAACTGCTGTTTCATTTTGATGACAGAATCTTTGGGTTTTGGTGCATCAGAGCACATATTGGCTTCATTGATATGTTGATCCAGTGTGAGGTCCTCAGGGAGGTATTGTGAGTGTTATTGTGGTGGTACCTTTCATGCTGCTATAATTAACAATCTGTCAGCACTGACATTATCAGTTGTTTCCCCCAAGGTTTCGTAACCACAGTGAACAAATTAGCTTCAAGCTGAAATTTAGTGTGTGAGTCTTGAACTCTAAGGAACTGCTTCATTTGGAAAAATAAAATTGAAAAATCCCTCTGTGCTTTTCCAAAGTGGTAAAGTATTAAAACAAAGGAGAACAGCTGTGTTTTATTATATGGTATATTTAAACTGTGTTATTCAGTTGTTTTGAAATATCCTTGATTATATTACATATATTTTTATCTTAAAATCCCAGATTGATTTCATCTCTCACTAGCTGGTAATTCAAAATGAAAATTAATATTTATCTGTGCTCCAGACAGCAGTAATACTTTCTTTTACTTCCTCACACTTGCAGCTGGAATAAGTCTGTATTTCACAGTGTTGTAAGAGAGCTCTTTGTTTAAAGGCAGAACATCCATTTCACATGTATTTAATACAATCTTAATTTCCAATCAAGAATAATTTTCCTTTTTTTTTTTTTTCCCTTGAAATAAGGTATCTACTAAAGCCAGATTTCATGAGACGACCAGACAGGACGTTTGACCCTTTCTCTGAAACTCCTGTAGATGGTGTTATTGCTGCAACGTGTTCTGTACAGGTAAAACAGCAACACACAGCTGGCATCACATCCAAAAGCACATTTAAAATCACCAGAAATAGGATATATAGTAAATGTCCTTGAGTTGGGTAGATTTCAGCAAATTGTTTCCTTTTTTAAAATTTATTTTTTATATTGCTGGCTAAGATGCCTTTGTTTACTTGATCTGAGTGGAATATGATAGAATTAGAAATTATATGTTATTATTGTCATATTCTAACAGCCTTTTCATGGTATTTTTGGAATACATGAGTCCATGCAAATGGATAAAGGAGTGAAATCCATTCCCATGTACAATATGAAATTGTACAACATCACTTGTCACCACAGAGCAGGGAGGAATCTGGGTGCACATGGACAGGATGTTTCCAAAATAAAATGAGAAAAATGTTTGATGTGAGGCAGGCCCTTATGTTGGAGTTATCTGTGAGTAACAAAGTCCATAAAACTCCTGTTGTAGTTCTAAAGCATGGTTAGGTGCCAGGTTCTGGAAGGAGACTGATGATTGTAAAAATTGTTTTGTGAGCAAAAGACTTCAACTTCCATTTAGCATTTTCCATGTTCTGCATTGAAATTTCACACCATCGATGGCCAAGCATTCCTCATGCATTCTAGAAGCTGAATTAAGTCCCATTTGCACCTCTAGAAGAATAAACATGCATGATTTTTTAATGTTGTTTTTCTTATTGGTAATCAAAGCACAGTCCCTCCAAGAAGGAAGTGGGGTCAGATCGTTTCCTAGGTCATGTATTTTGACAGTTACTTTTCTTTTGTGACTAAAATTAGTATAAAATTCCATACAAATTTTGTAATTAAGGAGTTGAGAGAAGCAAAAGCCAGCAATGATACCCCTTATCTACATAACTTTTCAGATCTATTATCCAGAGTGTTCCCTGGAAAGATGTTAGGTCATGGAAACAAAAGAACTTGGAATGAGCTTAGGTCTGTGAAGTTATGTTTCAGTTTTTTTCTTCCCTCCTTTACTGTAGTAATGAAAACATTAGCTATGTTTTTAAGTAATAGATCATCTTGATGAAATAAAAATTTTCCCTGGAGTAATTGCCTGCTGTGGCTTGATTAATCTTGACTTGGAGTGAAATGGCAACAAATCTTCATATGTATAATGATACAGAGGAATGGTGTAGGATTTGGGGGTTTTTTACTTTCCAGACACATAATATGGAGTCAAATTGACACATGATTAGTTTCAAACCTTCTCCTAAGTGAAAGCAGAGCAATAGTTTCCTTTTACCTCTCGTGGTCAAGGTGTATCATAGAAAAAAGTGCTTCTGAACAACATGTCTGAAGTTGTGGAATAGCAATGCCAACTCTGTATGGAACTGAATGGAACAACCAGTGAATACATCTGTGAGACACTGGCTGGTTGGGATGACTGACAACTGGTAATACCATAGCACAGTCATTTCAGGTGAAGGTTATATTTATATATCTGATCACAAAAGCTTTTCTAAAGAGGTGCTGTTTGAAATATCCCATTTTCACATGAGGAACTAAACACAACCATTTTTCAGAGTGGTGCCAGTAAAAAATGACCACTATTTCTGCTATCCTCCCTTTGTATTGCTTTTCCTCACTCTGTTGCTGTGTTGCAGGTGATATCTGGCCAGTTCTTGTCAGACAAGAAGATTGGGACATATGTGGAGGTGGATATGTACGGGCTGCCCACAGACACGATCCGCAAGGAGTTCCGCACGCGCATGGTGATGAACAACGGCCTGAACCCTGTTTACAACGAGGAGTCCTTTGTCTTCAGGAAGGTAGGATGTGGGGTCTCTGCAAAGCTGTGCTTGTGCCCATGAGCTTCCCTGCCCTCCTGAGCCTGCCCCCCCTGCTTCAGCCTGACTGCTCACACCGATGGATGAGTGCTGCTCCCATGGAAAAGGGTTTGTAGGTCCCCCTGTTTACTGCAGTAAACAATGTAAAGCTGAAATCAGCTTTCAGGAGGCTGCTTGGTTTTGGTTTGTTTTTTTTTTTTTTTTTTTTAATTTTGCTTTGGTTTTATTTTTCTAATGGATAACCTCTGTAGCTATCACATGATTTTTTTTGTTGTTGTTTTTGTTTCCATTTGGCTTTTTCCTCCCCTTTGCTTCCTCCTCCCACTTGGAGGTAGCCACCTCCTCTGTGACCATGCCTGTGTTCAAGGTATGCAGTCTGCTCAGAATGAGCCCCGCTGGTGGACACCATCATTCCCTGGAGATTTCTTCTTCCCTGCCCTGGCAGTGGCTGCTATCTTGCACTGTTCCTTCAGCCCAGAGGGCAGGTGAGATGCTGCATCCAAAGCTAAGGTCAATGTCATTACATGGAAAAGTTGAAAGGGTGCTGTGTTCCTCAGGCGTGTTGCCAGCTCCCTCCTTCAGTAGTCCATGTGCATCATGTACCTTTTTCTTTTTTTTTTCTCCAATACCAAAATAAAAACAACCCTTTTTTTCTTAGCATGGGGGATTTAAAGAGAGACACCATTTGTTCGTGCTCAGTTTTTATCTCTTGGTCTTTATATATATATGATACACATATATATATATATTTTTTTTAATTTAATTTTTCTTCTGTTGCCTGGAGTTTCATCCAGACTACATGTGTTACAGTGCTGTCTTTGATAACATCTGTTTTGCTTACACCTGTTTTGTTGTCATGCAAAATCGTTGCTCTTTTGTTCCAAAGTTCAGACTTTGCCGAGCGGTGATAACTCTTCACACTTGGGTATATTACCCACTAAATCTGCTTTCCTGACAGCATAGCCAGTTTTTAATAGAAATTTAGTTGATGCAAGAGTTTTTTCTGAACTCATATTCTGGAATGAATGTGATTTCAAGTGCTTTTCTCTGTGTGTGAGGAGGCACAGGGAAGATGCTTATGTACCAGCAATTCTGCTGGCCATATGACCAGCATGTGCTGCTGTCTGATTTCTTACATCAAAAGGGCCATAAATTCCAGGGTGCACCCCTGTGCAACCTGTGTGTTGAGACATGGGTACAGAGGCTGAGGTCAATATTTCTCATTACTACTCTTCAGTGAGCAATCCCATGGTCACACGTTCTCTTGAACTCTCAGGTCAGCCAAGAGATTATTTTTCTTTGCTTCAGGCCCTTATCATAGCTTAGCAATATAATCAGCATACACTGAAGATCAAGCAGGTGAGTGGCAGGAGCACAGCAGGAAGGATTCCTCTGGCTGGAGATCCTGAAGGCATGGGGTGCACAGTGCTAAAACATCATGAGAGGGTGGAAGTGCCTACCAGGATACCACAAACAAATTAATAGAGAGGGAACAATAAACTTAGTCCTTACTTCTGCTGCCTGGCAAATCTATGTCAAAAACCATCATGTAATGAAAGATGTGCTGATCTGTGACCTGTAGGGGAGAGATCTTACCTGCCCTGTTTGGGTTGCAGTGTTCTCCTCAGGCTGATGCTTAACCCTTCAGAGTTGTTCTCAGGTACCGTGTTTGATTGTTCTTCTGTCATGTTTTCTCGTTTTTATTTTAATTAAAATAAAGTTTCAGTCATTCTAACCTGGGTTCTGTGTTGTCCCTCTGTTGTGTAAGGGGAGGAGGGAGTAGTGCTGGTGGTGACCTGTGCTGGGAGTACTAAGCTGTGGTTGAGTAGAGCAGGAATCCATGAACTGCTCACATGGGTTCAAAAGCAGCCTTTATTTTGTGCCCCCAAGACTGAAAATGGAAGTGGCAGGTGGAAAGTCTGAGGGAGAAGGCAGACACAATTTACTGAGGTCTTCCCTTTTATCCCACAGGCACTGGTGAATAGCACCAGGTAGGGAAGGAGTGGGAAATCTTTCCTGGTGTATGGTTGTGGTGGGCTGGCAGAGGAGCTGCACCTCTGTCAGTCTGCCTCCTCCTCACTGCTCCATGCACAGAGGCAGCACCGGGGATCTCTTTGTTCCTGTCCTGGTCAGCCCAGTGGGGACTGACAGATGCAGGAGGCTGCAGCATACCTGTTCCCATGCATGCCTTGAAGCCCCATATCCTGAGTGCAGCACACCCACCTCTGCTGGCAGCACAGCATTTCAGCAGCTCAGACCCCATCAGCCTGTGCTTGCACTCTCCCTGCCTTTTTGGATGCATCCCAAATCCCATCTTTCTGTCATAATTCCTCCTGATCCAGCACTACCTGCCCTTTGATTGCTGCTGTATCTGTCATTTCCCATGCAGTATTTACCTGCCTTCTTATCACTGTCACCAGTCTTCAGTAATGAAAAATAAACATACAAAATATTTAGCTGGTGTAACTGTGAGCTGCAGGATTTACATAATCTGAAATCTACCCGTTATTAAGGGTGAAAAAAGCTTTTCTAGGAAAGATTAATTTTGGAAGCTGGGGTTTGCAGGGAATGACCTGATCTTACAGTGATAATAATTTCTGGCATCCAAAGTTCACACATGGGAGGTGGGGAGGGAGCCACTGTATCAATGCCATTGAATGTCTGCATTTTGTGATTTTCCAGGTTATCCTCCCTGATCTTGCTGTCCTGAGAATAGCAGTGTATGATGACAATAATAAGCTGATTGGTCAGAGGATCCTGCCTCTGGATGGGCTGCAAGCAGGTTACAGACACATTTCCCTTCGGAATGAGGGCAACAAACCACTCTCTCTTCCCACGGTTTTCTGCAACATTGTGCTTAAAACATACGTGCCTGATGGTTTTGGAGGTGAGCTAAGCCTTTATCTCAGTGTGCTGTGGCTCTTGAGTGTTGGTGTGCAAGTCCTGAAGTGCTTCAGTGTCACTGTGCCAGCCAAAGCACACACACAGTGCTGGAGGATGGAAAGATTGAGTATCTTAACTCCTTGGAATCTCTGGATGTTGAGTTAAGAAATCTGCTTTTTGACCAAGTGCCTGCCTCAGTGTTATGATAAAAGCATGTATGTGAAAAATAAGCTACTACTACTCTGCTCAATTTGGTTTTCTGTGTGGACTATTTAGAAAGAGTATTTTTTTTTATTACATATTGTCTGACATAAATATCTGTAAGGTTAGGATGTACTTTATCTATACTGGTTGGCCTATAAGTATAAAAAATATATGCAGAAACATGTTTTTTTTCAAATAAAACCAGTTCTTTATTCTTGGAAATACTGGCTTATTTTTGGAAATTTAGCATCCAGAACTTCTCTGCATTTTTCTCTCCTGATTTTACATGTTTTTAGTGTGGTTTTAAATTGTGTTTGGGTTCTCAGGAAAGTTATTTTAATATGTGAGCCATTTCCATGATCAGGTTGGCAGAACTGTGGTCATTTATGCTGAGCAGTGGCAAATTGCCACATGTGTGTGGGAACAAAGAGCTGAAAATAATCATTACACCACTAAAATCAGTGTAATGCATGAGTTCCCACTGAGGGAAAGGGCTTCTTCACCCGAGATGAAATTTGCCTGTACATTGGACAATGCATAAACCATTTAAAACTATAAAATAGGAATTGCACAAAATGTTGGTGCTCTGACTCTGCAACAATTACCTTAGGAGTTACTGGTGAAAGATTATTCATCAAACCAGTTTTTTTTTTTCTTCACAAAACCTATTTCAAACTGGAGGAAGGGAAGGTCAACCTAACCTATCTTCAAGTCTGTGTTGGCTGGTGCTTATCCAGACTTTAAAAAATTGTCAGGCTGAGACTTCAGTAAAAATATTTCATGGAGAGAAAGTGGTACAGAAGCATTGTGTTGTTCACATGTGAAATCCTGGTTTCTGGCAAGTCAGCTGGAGTTTTGCCACAGGTCTTGGAGCATCACCATGCCATTATGCACCACTTTTCATCCCCAGTATTTCACTGCAGGGGCTTTGTCTCAAGAGAAATGTAAGCTTCTGCTTAAACCTGAGATTCTCAAGGGTAATTGAAGCATCAATCTAAGAGACATGTTTAAGTGTGTCCTTTAATTCTTACCTGAACTGAAGCTTTTGACAGTAAATTACTCAGTTAAAGTCTTTGCTCAGCTAAGGACGTGCTTCTGATTTGGGATTGATGTTTTATGATACCAGACTTTTTCTAAGAATAGAATTTAAACTTAGCACTGAGCTCGATGTGGCTTGAGCTGCTGAGTGTGCTGGACCCATAAGGAGAAAAGATTTGTTTATTTTATTTTTTAAACTGCATTCTGCGCATGCAGACGTGAAAGACTTGTTTTCCAAAGAGAATTTCAACACCAGTTTAGAATTTGCAAATTGTGTGCTACGCTGTCAGCAGTGCTGTAGATGGTTAATTTGATAGGGATAGGAAAGTAACAATAAGTTACTAAGTAACAATATTGTTACAGTAAAATGCTACTAGAATGGGAGGACTGGTTGTTGTAGTTTACTGTCAGCAGTGGCAAAACCAGACTCCATAATTAAATGAGTTCAATTATAGTTTTCCTCTCCCTTCCCAGATAGGCTGGATGTGCCTCATGTATTTTCCTTGTTGATATAGAACAGCAGCATGAGGAACAACTGGGAAATCACTTCTGACACTCAGGTGGAATCATTAGTATTCTGCTGGCATGTGGCTTTTAATTACTTATCATCTGCAGTGAACTTCTCATTGTTTTGTGAGCTATCATTAGGATCTCCATGGTTGTTTTAGCAAACCTGTAGGAAGGTAGAGCTCAAGTCAGTAGCTGCCTACTTTCTTTTTTCTTTCTTTTTTCTTTCTTTTTTGTTTTTTTAACCTATATGAGTAAGATTTTAAAATGTGCCCTGAATAATAACTCGAACGGGTGATGCATTGTAGGCTTTAAAAGGTGCGTGTTTCTCTTTTTTTATTTTATAGCTGTGTAATTTCTTGTGGTTTATTTGCATCAGCCTCTCTGTTCCCAAAAAAACCACAATAATGGCACAAATTGATGCAAATGAAGCAGCATTCTCCAAAGAGAAGCTTCTATTATAGAAATCTGCTGTGAGTAAGTCTAGCTGCTTAGGTTAGTGCTTGGTGCCCTCTGTAAAGTACTCTTCCTGTGATTCTCAGGGTTTTATATTTAATTGCAGTTCTCCCACAAAATGCTGCTCCCCACTGCCAGCTCACCTCCCTGGGGACAAAGGGGAGCATAAGCAGAGGACAAATGACAACGTGAGAGGCAGGGATGAGTCACCTCCCCCTCAGATGTGCTGAGCCTTTGGTGATGTGCTTGTGTGGTTCCTTACACAATCCACAGAGGTGCTGCTCTCCCAAACACATTAGTCATTTTTACCTAGAAGCTCGTGATAATCAGGTTCAATTTTCAAGTGACGCATTGTGCTGGCAGGGTAGCCCTGAGTTTTCATTGAAAAGTGCGTGCCAAGGACAAAAAAGACATCCTTAATGAGGTAGAGAGAGAGGAGAAACAGTGGGTGCTGAGCCACAATCCATTGCCATGGCTAAAAATAAATTCTACATGGCTTTTGTGTATGTGAAATAAGTTTCAGAAGACATCAATGTGTCACAGCAGTTATTGGAGATGACCTATTTGTGTAGATAAACAGATCTCAAGGGTAATGCTAAGTGTTTAATACAACTTTTGTGGCAATTGGAGACCTGTCTGTGCTGTGGCTTCAGAGGAACATTCTACAGAACAACTCAGGTTGGGAGAGAGATGATACAGCCCAGCCCTTATTTGAACAAGAAGTTTCTTGCCAAACCTTTTGATGGGTTGGATATTTTCTTTTTTTTTTTTTTTTTTTTTTGCCTGTTGGAGTTAAGCACAGAAAGATTTGATATGCAGGTAAAAAAAAATTCCTGGGACTTTGTCATCCTGTAAACGTGTGCTTGCACATTTATCACTGCATATGGAAAACAGATTCAGTAATCTGTCTGGTAGCCAGGGCTGTGATACCACTGGTGGTACTGTGTCATGTGCAAGATTCAGATGTTGGTCATTCCTAGAAAAGCCATTTCACAGCCTCACATGTCCCAGACATGGAATATCACAAAGGCTGCTGAAAGTAGATTTAACTCATTGCTTTAATCCACCTGAAACTGCTCTTTAGCTAGGAAGTACAATGGCATTTTCTGCAATTCTCTGCAGTCCCAAGTCCCAAGTCAACACCCCTCAAGCAAGGGACAAAGTCAGTGCTTTGTGGCTCAGGAGATCCCATCCTGGTCTTCAATTTTACAGTCATTAACTGGGAGGAAGATAGAGCAGTCTGGGTTTTTCCTAGATAAGGTATCTGGATTAATACCACACTTGGTGCATTTTGAATTGTTCCATGTTCCAGGTGCTGTGGAAATAAGCACTTCCAGCCCTGCCAAATTCACCACAGGACTGGACTCTTGTTGCAAGCCATGTCTCATAATAACAGGGATAGAATAAAATATTTGTAAAATACTAATTTCCAGATGTTTCCAAAGCTCACAAAAAGTTGATTTTTTTTCCTTTATAGATATTGTGGATGCTTTATCAGATCCAAAGAAATTTTTGTCTATCACAGAAAAAAGAGCAGACCAAATGAGAGCTATGGGTATTGAAACTGTAAGTAGAATCAATGACAAACACAACCCACTTATGTCCATGATTCATTCTTTATTTAATGTAAACTGGTACTTCTCCAATCAATGCACCTTATCATTTCTCATTTTCAAATATAAGCTTCTTTGTCTGGCTTATGTCATTTACTTAAACACTCACTGGCTTTTCATGGATCACATTAATACATCTTTTAGGAGGAGAGATTTTAATAAATGGGGACAGAGTTGTATTTTAGTAAGTAGCTATTTGAAATAGGTTACAAATGCTTTACTATAGTGTTGTTTGAAAATATGTTGCAATTTTCTTATGTTTAAAGTTAGCCAGCTCAGAAACCTTCCCAACCTTTTACATTACAGGTAAAAGAACAATCAAATTATTGTGATGTTTCTTTCAGAGTGATATAGCTGATGTACCAAATGACACTTCAAAGAATGACAGAAAAGGAAAAGCCAATAATCCCAAAGCCAATGTGACACCTCAGAGCAGCTCTGAGCTTCGACCAAGCACCACTGCAGGCTTTGGGTCTGGGACTGATGCTAAGAAAGGTACACAAAAATCACTGCCTCTGTTCTGAAGTGATTCAGAAAGTCACAGAGAAACACTCATTACTCAAGTTTAATTTTGGAGTTACATTCATTCTTTTCATTTTGCCACTGGGAATTGTCTTTGTCTAATTGCAAATTAATTTTGTGTATTACTAAAATGACTGTATAAAAGTAATGCAGCTTTATTTTACAAAGTGACTTCTTTGTGTAGCTGTATAGCTGTGGTATACAGCTATATTTTTTTTAAATGTATGTGTGCATATTATAAACAGAACCTGCATGGCTCTGGGAATAGTTTACTAGTAAAGATTCCTGGAGGAGTGCCAATAGGAGTGACTATTATCTGGCATAGTCCACAGAAACTCTTCTGCTTTTTTTCTCCCCTCACAAATCCCCTGGCAGGGTTGCAGATTTAAGTAATTAAAGGTATTTAGAATTCACTGGATTCCGTAGAGATTTCCCAACAATTAGAAATGTTTTTACAATGTGGTTTTACTCTGAATAGTGATTATGGAAATGGCATGTTTATTGTAAAAAAAAACAAAATTAAATGTGCTCATTTATAAGTGAATATTTTTTCCTATCTCATCACCGTTCACTCTACAAAGTGATTTTATGCAGTTAAATGGGATTATTTGTTTCTCCCATATCATCACAGGTAATGAAGATCAAATGAGAAAACAAATTTGTACAGCTGAATGAAAGACAGTAAATATTTCTGTTAATAGGTCACAAGAATTAGAATGTGGCTCCCTCACTTATCCACCTTGGCCCAAAGGTATTGACAGCAGGGAAAAGGAGCACAGAGGGCTCTTCTCAAATTTAAGCACACGTGGCTCAGTACACACTTGTGAACCCTTGAGAACCCAAATGCCATTTCTCTGGAGTCACTTTTGGCAATGAATCAAAGCTTCAGGTTGGCTCTGGCACCTGAACTCTTTCAAAAGTTCTTCCCTGGCATAAACCCCAGGTCACTTTATGCAGTGAGATGTTTTCACATTTCATGCACAAGTGTTACTTTTATTGTGCATTAATTAAGCATTAAATTTGCTGAGGTTGACAACTGATTGCTACTGGCCATGGAGTCAGACCTGGACAACTAAGGAAATGTTCTATGTAGTGGTTCTATGTAGTAAATATTTTAAAATAAAATCCTGAGGAAGTCTATTTAGAAACCCAGTAGCCTGATGCAGGCCTGCTCTTAATCTGAGGTTTTAGTATTTAACACTTTCCTGACTGCAATTTTTTATTTGCATGTTAAAATAGAGCTGCTCATTTTTATCTCCCATGTAATGACCCTTATTTTGTATTTCTTATCTCTATGATTTACTAAGGTCTGAATAATTCTACCACTCTTAAAATACACGACTCATCTTGCTGTTAGAAATTACATGTGCAGCAAAATGGGGGAAGCTTTCAAATGCACAAGAATATGGGGTTTTTTTTGGCCTCAGATTTTCAGTAAGAGTTAAATCACTTGTGTTTTTGAAACCTTCAGCCTCTATCTGTGCCTACATCTGCTCCTGTCTCATTTACTAGACGAATGTTGATACTTTATACTTGAACAGAGTCTCATAATTCTAAGAAAAGAAAAAATTCATATTCCCTAAGGAGATTGCCTACCTCTCCTCCCCTCCTCTTTTTTTTTTCTTCTACAACGTCTGAGCATTTTCCAGTTAAATTCACCTTAAAAGCCAGGAAGTCCTTTTCAAGGCAAAGGAAATCTTATCATCCACAGAGCAGTTAACTAAATACATTTGTAATGTATTTATACACAGGCAAACATTTCTGTGTGAAACCTTAGAAAAAACTAAAAATTACAACTCTCATGACATTTTATTGACTTTTTATTAACACTTACATATAGGATGTGCTGAGTTGTTTGTAATGTCACAAAGCATTTATTAAAGCATAAACATTAAATGAGATCAGGTTTTGTTTGCATTGCAATTAAAGTGATCAAAACATTTTCATTCATCTACATAGTACTGTTAGTCTTGTGTGATAGAAATTTCATTAGAATATTCACTACTTTTGGTTTTCTGGTTCTCCATTAGTCTTGGAGCACATTTCTGTTCCTTTTCCCATAGCCTGCTATTAAGCAAAATGTAAATTTTATTTTTGTTACCACCCAGACTGCAAGTTAATTTTCTTTCCCTCCTGTGTTTTAACCTGAGGAGAAGCACACCTAGCCTCAGTTTTGTAGTCATGTAGAACCCAACCCAAGAAACCTCCCCAGTGGAAGAAGTGGTGCAAAACAATCTCCAGCTGGGGACCAAAATTCTGAAGGTGTTTTAATATTCATAAATGGTTTGCTGTGTTTGCAGAAAGGAGCTTTTTTCAATTCTTAGATTGCTGTGTTTTGACACTTCAGTCCAGAACCATAAGAGATAAAAATACATTCATTGATTCAATTCTTTTTCCACAAAACAATTGAGGAGTGCAAGGGAAAAGGATATTACTGTATCTTAGCTATATCTTGATGAATAATTTTCTTATCAACCTATGATTATTTTTTATGTGGTGAAAACCATTAATTAATTAATTGACAAGTTAAATGAAGGTTGTTGTGGTAAAACTCAAATTTTAAATATGAGATATACTAGTATGTATGAAGTTTTAGATAAATTGTATCAATACCTTCCCAGGTATAGACCTTATCCCTCAAGTGAAGATAGAAGATTTAAAGCAGATGAAGGTAAGTATTGACACAAGCTTTTCAGGACATGCTCCTAATGTTTTGTTTTAAGTAGCCAGGATTTTACCTGGTTAAAGTCAAAATGGCCACAGAAAAATTGATTCAACTTTTCTTTTTTCAGGCTTATATAAAGCATTTAAAGAAACAGCAGAAAGAGCTGAATGCCTTAAAGAAGAAACATGCCAAGGTATGATCATTAAGAGTTCTCTGAGCCTAATTGAAAACAGTTGCTCATTAGCACAATTAATTAAATTATAGGGGAAGACTAAGGAATGGTAGTTGGAGTCCCAAGAAAGGCATTTATGTTTTCAATGTACTGAAATATGCTGCAGTGAGCACATTTTCCCTTTGGCAATGCTTTGTATGTCTGCCTGAGCCTGGGTGCACATTTGTTTGACCCATATAAGCATGCAAGGCTCACCTTTTTTCAGGGGATGATTTTGTCTTGCTCCCTCTTGTTAATTTATTGACAGGTAACATGGAAAAACAAGGCAGTAATGATGGGAGGTGGTGCTGCACTGAAGACAGGCACTGGAGAAACTGCAGAATCACCAGAAAAAACTGGGATGTGTAGCTGAGAAATGGAGAACCCTGGTCCTTCTCATTTATATCTGTGTTAACCAATTTATAGTTAGCTTTTTCTTGGCAGTGGTACCACAATTATGTGTATCACTACCACAAATAAACTTCATGGTAGAAAATCACAGCCAATTTTGCCCTGCCCTCTTTCATTAGGAAACCATTACTCTTGTTACACAAAGAGTTATAATAAGTGAAGAAAATATGTCAAGTTCTCAATTTTGGCAAACACACAAATCCTTTCTGGGCTTTTGGGGCAGTTCCTCCCTTGCTCTCTTTGCTTGCAAATTCCACTGCAGATCTGATGTCATGTGGTTGCCTGGGCATTTCTAGTATCAGTCTTTGTGTTTATTTTCATGACTGTTGGTGGGGCATGGAACTCTCTGTACAATGAATTGTGGAGAAATTACTTTCAATAATTGGCACTTTTTTGGGGTTATTAGTATTGAAAGCCATATAAGGAAATTAAATAGTTACATTTCGGCCTCCTTACTGACTGTACAGAGGGGAAATGAGTGATTTCTGCATTTTTGTGTTCTGTGCAAAACCCATTCTCAAGGAAAAGTGTCCAACACTTTTTGATATCCACAGTTTCTAGAGCTTCATAGGGCTGATCTCTTTTAGGGGCTTCTAATTTTTAAACACTTCTGTGTCATTTCACTGGCCAACAGCCAGCAATTTGCTATAGAAATGGTCCTGTGGTTATATAGAAAACAGACATACCCAGGGGTCTCTCTCCCTCAAACACGTGACCCACAGGATATCTGAGCCTGTGCTTGCTAATATTAAGAAAATGATCCATCTGTTCAGGCTTGCACTTGTTTCCTCTAATCTGAGGAAAAAATTGCCAGCCATAATCTAAAAACGCCCTGCACTCAGAAGGGCTTTCAGCATTAGCTCAAGCACAGCTATTTCATGTCTGAGCCAGCTGTGTCCTGCTGCTCCTGAGTACAGAGTGTGAGCTTGTCCTAACAACAAAGTGCTGGCCTAGGGCATGCCTGGCTAAGGGCTCCAGCAAGGGCAGCTCCTGGAATTCAGAGTCTGAGCAGGAAAGTGCAGCCACATGAGCTCAGCAGTGATCTCAGGGCAGTGCTCAGTGTGCTCATCACTGGTCTTAGTGCATTTGATCAGCTGGCATGGAGCAGAACTCTGCACTTGGTTATGATCAGCCTCAGGAAGCCTGTGTTTGAAGCAGACTGAACCCAAAAGCACCAGAAACAGTCTGGCTCCCATTTAACCATAGACACTCCAGATATCTGGAGGAGTATGTAGGCAGAAGGGAATTGTTCATGATGCTTAAGGAAAGAAAAGTCTAATGCTGTTCCATCTGAAATTGGCTTTGGAAAATGCATTATAGCAAAGAAAAATTAAGTGGTGCCAGGCTTCCCAGCACACCACACTCTGTTGGTGTTGTTCTTTGATGTTATCTTCCATTAACTGACTTCTGTTCAGCATTTCAGCTATTTTGGATCCAGCAGCTCTGATAGCATTCTCCAGAAATCCCTCTATTGGGATTGCTGAAGAGCAGATGATTGCTCTCAGGAGCAAAGAACATGATCCAAACCTCAGTCCAGTAGGAAGCTATCAGCTGCTGGTGCTGTAGGATTCCTTGGGTTTGACTTTGAAAAACAGTGGCAAATTCATGTAACTGTCACCATTTTAAAAAATCTCCTTGTTAGGAATAACTTCTCTTGAATCTTAGCTCTGGTAACCTGTGCTTTTTGTAATTTTAAAAGAATATGTCCAGTCACTTCTGCATACTATGCAGAAATGCTTTTCTTTAAACAACAGATCCATAAAAACACCTGCATTTGGCTGCTTTTGAGGTAGAGTATTTCCTGCTGACATTCCATGAAGTAACTTTAATCTCTCAGTATGAATTAATAGTAATATCTTATATTCAGCTACAGAACGGCTGATGTGCCTGAATTATAGCCTTTAGTTTATATCTCTTCTTTATCAAGTTACATAGTGAGTGCTCTTTAGGGGAATGATCTGGGGTGGCATCACAGGCAGGTGGGCAAAGAAAAGGACATATCTCAGTCAAACAACTTCACTTTTATAGACCCCTACTTCATTTTAATATTTTTCACATAGCTGTCAGGTAGTTTCTGTGCTTTTTGGGCTAGACAGAAGAGGAAGGATAGTGAGGAATTACCTTGATTTATTCTAGAGGATTGTGGTGTGCAGTTCTTGCAGTTTCAGCCACAACAGGGATGCTCACAAGTGCCCCTTGAGGAATTTAATATGGTTCTAGACAGTGACCAGAATTGCATAATTAATCTAAATCCCCAAATTCATCTCCTGCACATTCATGTTGACATTGAAAATAAGTACTGTTTGAATAAAAGCCTAATAAAAAAGAACATTAAAAAAAATCTCCTTTTCACACAGGAGTACAAAAGACGATAGGACAAATAAAGTTCTGCAAAATGGATTTTTCAACTGGAAATGTTAGTTCCTTCTTTTTATTTCCTCGTCCTTGTATTTTGTAATGAGAATCCTCCAGACCTCAGGTTTCAGTTGTGCACAGTGTTTATGTTGCTTCAGGGAGATACTGGACAGGAGTAACAGTTTGTATAATGGCAATTTATTTCATCTTCCCTTTAATAGACTGAGCTGTGATTTCTGCACACACACACTCACTGTTCCCAAAGGAACAGTATATGACTCTTTATTCTTTTCCTGTGGATTATCTTGCTGTGATTTGAGTCTTTTTATACCAATTAGGTGACCTCTCAGAACACTGGCAGAACTGTGGCTTCAATTTGTAATGACATGTAATTTGTGAATATATTCATGTGAAAGGTGTGCAGATTGAGTGGGCTTGAGGAAATCATGAGAACCTATCTGCAGACTTATTCTGAATCCACCTAGAACATGTTAGCAACTGAAACTTTGCATTTGAAAACAAAAAACCCCATATTTCTTAGAATGTTGACAGAAGTTTGGGCAGAAGTCTCATGCTTTGCAGAGTTTGTTCTTAGTCTTTTATGGCAAGAATTGGATAGTTCTGCACATTTAAGAGGAGTTGGTAGTTTGAGAGATGCTCTCAGTCACTTCACCTGTGGCTGGCTGATGTTGTCAAGCTCAAGTCATTCTTTTCACTGTCCCTATTTTTCCCCTGCCTGCTTAGTCAGTGTAAACACCCCCTGGTGAGGCTGGCATGTTTTAATATTGACAGAGTCTATTTGTTTCCCTTTAAATCCTCTGTGGAACAGCAAATTCACTTCCCCACTCTGAATACAACAATTGAATACATTTGGAAGCTGTATGTGTTCCCTGGGGAAGTGCTTGGCAGATGTTGGAGTGCTGGGGTACAGCCCAGTGCTAGATTTTTGAAAGCATTGCAGCATTTGTATTAATGTTTTGGTAAAAGTGAGTGTAAAAGTATTTAATTAGCATTTTTAGGGGAAGAAACAGTGATAAGGCAAAGGTGTAGAGAAAATAATAAAGATAATAAATAAAAAGCAGTAGAATAGAAAGTGTGGAAAAGATGCAAAAAGAGCTAAAAAATAGAGATAAAGTCCTGGATGAAGCTATTTTAATTAATGAGGTTCTTTTTGCCATGATTAGATAAAATGCAGGGCAATTGGGTATTAATAAAATAACATAAATGAAAGAACCATTTTTCCTATTGTAGTGTAAATTCAATATTTGCTGCTCTCCGTGCTGGTCAAATATTTGCATCATTATGAGCTGCTGTTCTGAAAAAGGAAAATATAAAGTTAGCAAGGAAAACTAATATAAAGTAAGCAAGCACAGCTTGCTTACACTTGCTAAAGGAGATGTCTGCCACAAGGTGGGATTTCTTAGTGATCAGAGTGCTGCTGTCACTGAGGATTGTGAGCCAGATCTTCAGAACTGTACTTCAATGGACATTTATTCCAGCAGATGACTTTTTTTCCCCCCATCATTAGTTTGCTTTAAAATGTACCATATTTTTAAGGTTCACTGCAGATTTTAATTTTTCAAACAAAGAGGAAATGTTTTAGTGCTTGTTGGTGGAATACCTGGAATGCTGAATACCATATGGCTAGACCAGATTAAATTCCATTGTCAAAACTGTCAGTTTGTACACTGATTTTTTTTACATTGTGAGAAAATTTAACATCAAAAATCCAGCAACCTAATGGTAAGGTCCTACTGTTTTCCAGGAGCACAGCGCCATGCAGAAGTTGCACTGCACACAAATTGACAAAATAGTGGCCCAATATGATAAAGAAAAGGTATCATATGAGAAAATGTTAGAGAAGGCAATCAAGAAGAAAGGGTAAGATATTATTTTTAATTCTTTTTCTTTAGACTTAAAGTAGATTTGATATCTTATGCTTTTGTGGTCTGGAATAAAGCATTCATAAAAAGGGCATTGCAGCTTGAAACCAACATCATACAGAGAATGAGCTCTAGCAATGGGCCTTAAATGTTGGACTCATTCTGCCTTTCTCTGGTCTTTTGCTATCAGAATTTTAAAAGTAAAAGCAAAGGATTTGCTTCAAATTTTTATTTCTGTGGTCTGGTCTGGTCTGGTCTCACTGAGACCAGAGAATGTCACTGTTGTGTTCACTAAGGTCCTCAACAGCTCTAGTGACCAGAAAGTAGCAATGTTTTGATTTTAGGTGAAAAGCTGGCTTTTAAATCCTGAATGTTTGAAAATAATAGACTTTTGCTGTGCTGTTGAGTCGAAGTTTCTTTTTGACAAAAAACTTACAGATCCTTGGTTGGGATAAATGAGTTTTACTCCTTTGACTGCAGTGGAATTGTTTTCATTTGCACAAGCTGATGGCCTGGGATATTATCTGTGTGAATCTCCTATTTGTCCTAGAAAGGTTCCTGGAAGATGCTGATGACTTTAACAGAATGTCTAATTCTAATTTGGAATTAAGTAGCAGGACCTGCTGTTGCCTTGCTGCTCATCTGGCAGCAGTTTCTCTCTCCACCTTTCACCATGTCACTGGAATTTCATTGAGACAGCAGGAATTACTTTAGTTCCATATCCAGCTATGCTAATAGCTGCTCTTAATTTCATATTGTTGTCATCTGGCAATAACAGCTGGCAGGCAACTCACTCACTCAATACTGAACATAGATGCCTGTTTGGCACTGGATTCTTCCAAGAATACTTTTTTCTATAAATTAATTGGAATGGTGGTGGGTTTTTGAGTGTACATTTTGTAAACTGGCAAAGGAACAGAAACAGAACTGTCAGAAGTAAATAAGGTAAGGAGAATTATTCTCACTAAATTACTGAAAGCTCACAGTTCATGCTGTACTATTTTTGTTCTAGACAGGAGAACTGTAAGCACACAAATACCTATAATCTAAGGAGTTTCTTCCAGAAAATTACTTCTTCTCCAGAGAAGGGACAACTGCAGAATTGATTAATTTAATGTGGCATTGATTCAATTTCATTGAATAAAACACAGCAGAAGGTCACTGATACAGCTGGATTTTTAATTACAGTCAGGTTATTTACTACAGTGGCAGAAAAGTGAACTCAGGGCATTGCACCATAATTATTTTGGGGGCAGAAAGGTTACCTGTGCTCTGGTATGTAAGAATCTCAGTGTTCCTGTTGGCCTGAGAAGGAGCCAGTGCCTCTGCCTGTCCAGACAAAACAGCCAAGGAAAGTGTGTCAGGAAGTTAAAGGTGGAAATGGCTATCTCTGTGCAATAAATATGGGGAAGTTATGGATAATAATGCTGTCCAGATCGCCCCAAAATGGAACAAGTATCAAAGCAATCCATCATTTGATTCACAGTTTCACGTCACTTCATTGGCTACTTGCAGCATCTTTTCTTAATTTTATTATGCTTCTTGCATGGACACCAAAGCCTTCATGATAGTTTCATATTATGAGTTTAAAAAAAAAAATGGAAATGACCACTTTGTTTCAATGCAAAGCCAAATAGTGTTCTTACCACAATTCCATACTTTCCATGGACTCCAGAGGTCTCAGTCACCCGATGGCTCTTTCAGTTTTACAAGACTAACTGTGTGCATCTAATTAACATCCAAATAAAAATCAGTATCTGATAGACTTTCTGTGAAAACACTTTCTAATGCCATAGCAAAATATTTTAAGGGCTAAATACTTTTAATATTTAATGCCTACCTCAGCTATGCAGAGTATTCAAGGACATGCTTCAAAGTGAATTCATTGGTTGGCACTTACAAATTTTATTGAACTTAAAACAATCTGATGAATCCAGAGTCCTGGGTTCAATGAGTACAGGACATGCTCCATTTCCTTGGCTATCATTCTGGAGCATTTGCAAGGAATAAAAGTTGTAAGAGAACTTGTAAAACATGTTTTCAAGGCATTCATATTGAAATTGTCAGACTATTTCCTGATAAAAAGGCCTTTGATGGGTGTAAAGACAACTTCCTCTTCTTGTTGTGCACTTTTTTTTGTGGTCCATTTCTGCCACATGGTGTGACAAATGCCAACTGCATATTGTTCAGGATTTTTTAATCACATGCTAATTCACTGACAGATGGACAGGATTTTGCTCCCTGTGCTATTTCTGTCATACACTTGAAATGCTTACAAATCTCAGAGAGGCATATGGGGATAGGTATGGTTGTGTTCCCACTCTGAATTGGAGTCAGGGCACATAAAGATCCTTCTGATTTATTGGAACTGTCCAGAAATCCAAGTCTATCTGTGTGTGTGAGCTTGGTAGGTGACCCTGGATTGGGCTGTCCCTGGGTATTTGTTCCCAGCTGTGACTCCATGGGCTCTGCACTGCAGCTGGGGGCAATTCCCATTTTGCCCAGTGTCCAAACTGGCTGGAAGTTGTCTTGGGCTATGATGAAAGCTGCATTTCCAGAGAAGGGGTAAGCTGGTGATTTGGATGTCTGGGATTCTGAAGAGTCCAGTGATTGAACTAATGAGGCTATTTTGGGATAAAATATGTCTGATTCACACCTAAGAATCAACATTTTTCATGCTGATCAACAAATCAAATATTCCATTACAGCCACACCCTGATCACAGTATGATCAAAGACACTTCTCTTTCAGCTATTGGGTTTTTTCAGGCAGAGTTAACAGTGCTCAGAACCTCTCTCTATGACATTAGACTGCTTTCAAAGTGTCAAATCAGTGTTAGAAATATCGACAAAATTTCCCTTGCTCTAGGTGGAAAATAAATGACTGGTGGCCCTTAGGAAAACAAGACACACTATTTTCAGTAAGGGCTTTCCTAGTACTGTTTGATGATAAAGTTTTCTGCTAATTTCCATAAGTTTAGCAGTACTTTGATATGAAAATAGGATTTAAACTTGTTAAAAATTTCATAAATCTCCTTTTCTGGAGAAAACATGGATTAATGTTACTGCAGTCAAGCAATGACCATCCTTATTAGGGCCAGCTGCAGCTGATAAATGAACATGTCCCTGTCCAGACAGTGGAGCTGCATCCCTTCACATCAGTGGATAATCCAACACAGAAACATTACAGTGCTGTCCAAACAGACTTCTCTCAAGATATTTATTCCTTTACAGCCCATTCACTTATTCTCACAGAGGAACACCTATATTTTCTGTAAGTGTTCAAATTTAGTACACCCAGATCACCCTGTGAGGTAATTATTCAAATGACAGCATTTTCTCTGTCTCCAACTTAATATAAGTAATAAAATTACTTTTAAAACAAGAGTCTAAAATCATGGCAAGACGCTGAATAGGCCTGTAAGTTTTCAGGCAGAAACTGGTTTCTCTTGGCAAGGTATTTTAAGCCTGGAAAAGGAACCAAGTATCATAAATGGAGATGCCTGACACATCCTCAGCAACAGAATAATTGCTGGGCCAATCTAGAATTAATCATGTGGTGTTTGAATTGACTGATCATTAATCCAACAATATTTTGTAAGTTGTGAATGGATTGCCAGAAGAAATAATTTCATTCCAATACGGTGCAGCACTTCTACTTTGATTAACGTTTTAATTAGTAAGTGCTGACTGAATGGGGAGATGTTTAACTTGTGGCACACATTTGCAATTTATTTTTTTTTTTAGAGGAAGTAATTGTGTTGAATTGAAGAAAGAAACGGAAATTAAAATTCAGACACTAACATCGGATCACAAATCTAAGGTAAGCGAACAGCCAATTTTAATGCATGCAACTTCTGAAAGAGAGATTTTGAGACCCAAGTGGTAGTTAATTTTCTTGGAAGCATATGAATAATTTTCAGCAATAATAACATGTTGAAAAGAATGGGAGTAATTGAGTGTCTAAAAGTGTTTCTTAAAAAAAATTTAAAGCAACATTAATTTCCTGCTGTTTTGAAATTTCTGAAGAAAGCCCTATATTCATGCCTCATGAAGTGAAACTGGTCATTTGTGTCAGATCTAGTTAAACAAAGAGAATATGTGTTATATGAAATTTGGATGCTAAATACATTCCCAAAATACATACATAAAGAAGTTTCTATTTCATTTTCCATCATTGTTGCCGTGGCCTTGGTAATCTGTTTCTTAGGGAATGAGGAGCCAAGTTGCTCTTGAAACAAATGCTTTCTTATTTTTAGTGGTTTGTTTTTTTCCCATTTCTTCATTGCTTTGTTTTCTCTGAGGTCCTGGGGAATAAAAGTGCCCTGGGACTCGACCTCAGCTAATTTGGAAAAGCTGTTCTCATGGCTCACATGCTCAGAGCTGTTTCCTCTGTAGTCCTGGGTTCAGAAGCACACTGAACACAGCGTTCTTCTGCTGTGACAGTGTCCACTACTGTGTTCACTGACTTTCTGTTTCCTTTGGAAGTCTTATCCAGGATTGTTGACATGTTTTTGAAAGCTATCCAGACTAGAGGGTGGCAGGGACACCAGAGGGCTCATCCATGCACAAAATCATCTGGAGGGAGAACAGTACTGGAGACTGACCCCAGTAAAAGCTGAAACCTGTGAAAAGAATCAGACAAGAATAGAAAATACACACAAACACAGTCATATCTTTGAGGCTAGAATAAGTTAATTTTTTTCTTGACTTCTTTGAACTTTATTCTCTGGTTTTATTATCTGATGTGGAGAAGATCTTAATTTTCTAAACAAGGTTTGCTTTCTTGTTGCTGCCCTCTCAGTTGTAGATGTAGCCAAACCCCCAGGGATAAAACCTAAAGTATTCTCTTATCTCCCTATCTTCTTCCCCTACAAAAAGTCCAGAACCCTTTCCTCAAATAAAAGCAAATTTGTTAAGTTTAAAAATTAAAAAAATTCATTCCTCTCGTAGTGAAACAAACTCTCTGAGGAGCACTGGCTCCCAGTCATCCAACATAAGCTCCAAAAATTACATTACACAGAAATTTATTTGCTCTGATCTCTCTCTCACCTGTATCACTCATAGTCTGGAGTTAGGTGTCATTTGTACACAAGGAACATCCAAATGTTCATTAATCTTCCAAATCCAATAAATGTAACTCATGTTCTCCTTTTCCACAAATATATTCAGTTTCTGAGCCCTGCTCCTTTCAAAATCGTGCTTTCAAACTGGTTCCCTTTAATTTGATCCAAACCTGGAAGAAAAGATTGATTTTTTGTCCATTCCCATGTCAGGTTTTAGGATGACATTTTGAAAGGAGACTTAAATGTAAGATTTGAAATGTAAGACTTCAATGTAAGACTTGAAATTCTGATTATTGGATAATTCCCAAAGAACTCTGCAAGTCATCCCCTTCTGAGGATTCCTCTAATGATTTTCAGTGTTCTGCTCACTGTGGTTCCATCAAAATTGTCCAGATTATTTACCAACCTCTTTTGTTTCAACTGTTGTGTGTGGGACCTTGAATTATTCCTGGAGATCATTCAAAGGTTTGCAAGCAAGGGGTTGGAAAACAGTGCTCAAGACCATAGGGAAATTAACTCTTATCTTAGATGAAGGTAGGTGCAATTAAATTAGATTAAATTCTGAGATGCTGAATGCATTACACTGATATAGTGGGAGTTTGATTAATTAACAGTTGTTCATCATTTCTCAGCATTTGGCCCACTAATTTTGATATCAGATTGGAACATAATTCATCTTTAATTACAGCTCATGTTCTCCAGTACAGCTCTGTGCCACAATGTGTCTTGTACACACCTTTAGCACCAAAGAGACCTTTTCATCTACAAAACTCCTCCTGTCATGAGGAAACAACCAGCCCAAATTTGACATAAAATATTGAAATTAAATCTGAATGTCCCAGCGTGTACTTCACACACAATTAACCTAACAAATGCAAATTACTCGCCTGCATTAGGAAAGTCGGTCCCAATATCAAGCAGGCAGAGGATGAAAAGAAAAAAAAAAAGGAAAGATTACTTCAAAGATCATTCCTGCTTGAACTAAGTGACTAAACAAACTTCTTGCATATATGCTGTGCAAAAGAAGGTTCCTTATCAGGATTTTAATTAGTCTCTTAGGCCCAGTGTAGAAACAGATGAAAGGACAGGCTTGCAAACTCAGTCTGCAGAACAGGAAAGAAGTAAGCTAATGGTTATTTTTCCCATCCTTTAGGACAAGCAACACTACCTTAATAGCAGAAAGTAGGACAAGAGCACAGCCCAGTAAAAATTAAATAGTCATTTCAACTGTGCTGCTTATAAACTGGAGAAAAGCAGGGATGTTTTCTGAATTTACTGCAGCTGAACTTTGAAGCATATCACAGATCTGCAGCAAAATTGGATTTCAGATGATTTAATAGCCATGAGTTCTAAGTTCTTCGGAATCTGAGTCAAATTGGGTATTTAAAGTCTTGTAACTGGTGTTTGGCACATCCCTTACATCCTTCTCGCCAGGTTATATCTTGCTGTACCTGAAATGAGACTTTTGGTGGAGATGTAATAAAAGAAAGTTTCTCTTTCACATCCCTAGAGGAAAACTTGTTTTCCAAGGAGGTGTATCTGCTTCTTAGACTGCCTGCTGCTTCTGGAATTAGCAGCACATCATAGCACATCTGTCCATGAACACAGGCAGGGGTGTTTTTCTGATTATTTCTTCTTTCTCAGATTAAATACTTTATCTAAGTATTACCACACCGTCACTTTGCAAAGTTTTTCTTTGGGAGCTGGACTCAATAATTCTATTATTGAGATATTATATGATCCTGTGGTATCAGTGTACCTGAGATTCAGAATTCCTGCCTTCAAGCTCCTCTGTGGTTTATAACATTCACCATTTAAAAACAATTATCACATTATTCATTTGCAATGAGCCTTGAGTCTTTTCTTCTGTGTTTGTTCGGGTTTTGTAAACTCATTGCAATTAAGCCACAAAATACTTACTTGCACTATGGCTTCCACTATTTATTTCACTATTTTATTGTCATGCTTCTTTTTTCATGCAAAGTTCATTTTGCCTTTTCTCTAAAGTGTAAGGAGGCCTTAAATAAAAGCAAACTCTTCTTTGTTGACTGGAATGCCTGTGGTGGTGATGAACAGTTGGCCTTCTGCTCCCTGGCCCACATAACAGCAGTTGTCTTTTTGAAATATTAATAATTTCTAACACTGTGACTGTGGGAGCTTTCTGAGGGCACAGTCCCTTTGCTGCTGTGCTCCAAATTACATCCAGGATTTTGGACTGATCTATCAGCACCATTTTTAATTCAAATCCTTGATGGAGCTGACTCCATCTGGAAACGGCATTGAAAATAAATATGGAAATAAATATGAAAATAAATATGAAACCTTCAGCCATGACTTTTAGCTCTCCTAAGTCCATCCTAGGTCTAAGCCAAATGAGGTCACTGTTGAGAGGAGATTCATACAACCTAACTCAAGTGTCTTGGTGCTTGATAAATCCTACTTTGGAGCCACCCACATTTTCACATCAGCAGTACAAGGAGCTTGGGCTAAACTTGGCCCAAACTGAAGCACCTGTGGTGGTGCCAGAGGTGAGCTGGAGTGTCTGCCCCATAACCTCTCAAATCTCCATCTGGAAAGTTAGTTTTTCTTCCTTAACAACATCCAAGCATTTATTTGTATTCATTTTAAAACTGAATCCTCATGTTTTTCAGGCTCTGAAGGCAGTACTTACGAACACCTTATTAAAAATACTGCTCCCACAAACTGCACCACATCCTTCATTTCATTTCATGGCTGATAGGCTCAGTAGTTCACTTCCCCACATGCACAAAAAGAAGCATGGCTCATTTTACTGGAGGCACACTGACTCTTAATCTCCCTGATGAATTGGGCCTGTGTTAGTCATACCAACTTCTGCCTCTAAAGGCTTTCTGTAGAAAATTCCGGGTTGCTCTCTGTCAGCTGCTTGTACCTGTTTTGATTTGAGACCACTATTTAGCTCCAGTGAAGTGCAAACCTAGCTTTCAGGTAGTAGTAGTCATCCTGATCTGTTTCAGAGTTACTCACTTCTTTATTTCATTAGATTCCTTTTTTATTGGGCAGCGTGAGCTTTAGGTAAGAGGCCCTTCAGAGAAACCTCTCCAGGGCAGAATGGAGACTGGGACTGATAAAATCTCCACTTTTTTCACCTTCACCACTGTGTGCAAGACAATCTGTTCTTCATTATGCAAACCCTAGCTAAAATATTTAGCTAGGGTTCGCATAATTCTCTCATTCCCTCACCATTCTCTCACTTCTAAGCAAAATGGTGGCAATTTTTGTTAAAAAGTATCAAGTTTGCTTTCATAGAAGATGACCCAGATGTTATTGGTTGTAGTTGAACTGATTACCCGAAGATGGATTTATTGAGAGGCACATTTTGTATACCATTTATGGAAAAATAGGATAGCATGTCAAAATACCCAAAGATAATCATTAAAGGTTAATAAAACATATCTTTCTATTAGCTTCTTTTCAAAATCAATGAGCACGATATATTATAATAACAACTCTAGTGATTTAGGCTTCTTAATACTGTCTCTTGGGAACATTCCAAAACTTTAATCTCATTATTCTTGTGAGGCTTGGGAGATAAGCAAGAGAAGAATACTTGTCAGATTCCCTGCTGACTTAATGAATATAAAACAAAGACGTGTAGACCATCTTCAGATTCAGGTTGTACGAAATACACGATTTTTCTGTAAATGCTCTATGTTTGTGAAACTGTCTTCACAAAATCAAAGGCTATCTTTAAGCCCTCAGAGAAATCCTACTCACTAGTTTTTTCCATTGTTAACTTCAGTACTTTCAATATATATATTTTTCTTGGCAACAAAAGTATGAAACTGTATTATTATTAGCTCAGTCTTAGAGAAGGTTTTAAAACAATGGTAGTACAGTGAAGAACCTATTTATTCAGCCAGTCTATTCAGGGCACTTTAGATAATAGTGTCTTAATAGTAGGAGTTGGTTTACATCTGGTTTTATACCACCCAGCAGTGTCCTCAGTGCCTTTGCTATCTGTGAAGCAACTTCATTTGTGCAACTTCATTTTTCACAGTTGAGCTGTGTTCTTTAGCACCTGTTTTATGATTGTCTTTACATCACCTTCAGCAGCAGGAGGAGTTGCTCTGTCTGGGAGCCTCTAACAGAGCTGGTGTTACCTCCCACAGGTCAAAGAGATCGTGGCTCAGCACACCAAGGAGTGGTCCGAGATGATCAACACACACAGCGCCGAGGAGCAAGAAATCCGCGACTTGCACTTGAACCAACAGTGTGAACTACTGAAGAAACTGCTCATTAATGCTCACGAACAACAAACCCAGCAGCTGAAATTTTCCCATGACAGGTGAGCAGGGCAGTGCTGCCTGATAATGAGGGCTTGGTTTAGCTCTGCTCTGTGTAATGCTTTAGTTTTTTATACTCACACCTCCTGTCCTGCTGCCAAAGGCACTGGGTAGAAGCAAAAGAAGCAACCACACAAGGTTTAGGTCATGTCCTGGTTTGAAAGACTGCCAGGGTGTCTGCCAGGGAAGGCAGGAACCTCTCTAGGAATGGAAAATGTGACCCCCTTCCCTCTGAATTATTCCAGCTGCTAAATGCTGGGGCTGTCAGGCAGAGCAGTGGGAAAAGCAGCAGCAGTTCTTTAGCAGGGTGTGTGCCCAGGCTCACGCACAGCCCCAGCAGCAGCAGCACAGCCAGAGCTCGCTCCCATTCCCAGCCGCTCCCGGCCCGGGCGCTTTCCCTGCGCTGC